CTTCATTTCTTCCTCCTCTAGTTGCTTTAGGTGTAGAGTTAGGTTATTTATTTGACTTTTTTCTTGTTTCTTGAGGTAGGCCTGTAATGCTATGAATCTTCCCCTTAGCACTGCCTTTACAGTGTCCCATAGGTTTTGGGTTGTTGTGTTTTCATTTTCATTCATTTCTATGCATATTTTGATTTCTTTTTTGATTTCTTCTATGATTTGTTGGTTATTCAGAAGCGTGTTGTTTAGCCTCCATATGTTTGAATTTTTAATAATTTTTTTCCTGTAATTGAGATCTAATCTTACCGCACTGTGGTCAGAAAAGATGACTGGAATGATTTCAGTTTTTTTGAATTTACCAAGACTAGATTTATGGCCCAGGATGTGATCTATTCTGGAGAAGGTTCCGTGTGCACTTGAGAAAAAGGTGAAGTTGATTGTTTTGGGGTGAAACGTCCTATAGATGTCAATTAGGTCTAGCTGGTCCATTGTGTCCTTTAAAGTTTGTGCTTCCTTGTTCATTTTCTGTTTAGTTGATCTATCCATAGTTGTGAGTGGGGTATTAAAGTCTCCTACTATTATTGTTACTATTAATTTCCTCTTTCATACTCGTTAGCGTTTGCCTTACATATTGCGGTGCTCCTATGTTGGGTGCATATATATTTATAATTGTTATATCTTCTTCTTGGATTGATCCTTTGATCATTATGTAGTGTCCATCTTTGTCTCTTTTCAGAGTCTTTATTTGAAAGTCTATTTTATCTGATATGAGTATTGCGACTCCTGCTTTCTTTTGGTCTCTGTTTGCGTGGAATATTTTTTTCCAGCCCTTCACTTTTAGTCTGTATGTGTCCCTTGCTTTGAGGTGGGTCTCTTGTAGACAGCATATATAGGGGTCTTGCTTTTTTATCCATTCAGCCAGCCTTTGTCTTTTGGTTGGGGCATTCAACCCATTTACATTTAAGGTAATTATTGATAGGTATGGTCCCGTTGCCATTTATTTTGTTGTTTGGGGTTCACGTTTATACCACCTTTCTGTGTTTCCTGTCTAGAGAAGATCCTTTAATAAGAGCTGGTTTGGTGGTGCTGAATTCTCTCAGCTTTTGCTTGTCTGTAAAGCTTTTGAGTTCTCCTTCATATCTGAATGAGATCCTTGCTGGGTAGAGTAATCTAGGTTGTAGGTTATTCTCTTTCATTACTCTAAGTATGTCCTGCCATTCCCTTCTGGCCTGAAGGGTTTCTATTGATAGATCAGCTGTTATCCTTATGGGAATCCCTTTGTGTGTTATTTGTTGTTTCTCCCTTGCTGCTTTTAATATTTGTTCTTTGTGTTTGATCTTTGTTAATTTGATTAATATGTGTCTTGGGGTGTTTCGCCTTGGGTTTATCCTGTTTGGGACTCTCTGGGTTTCTTGGACTTGGGTGGCTATTTCCTTCCCCATTTTAGGGAAGTTTTCAGCTATTATCTCCTCGAGTATCTTCTCATGGCCTTTCTTTTTGTCTTCTTCTTCTGGGACTCCTATGATTCGAATGTTGGGGCGTTTCACATTGTCCCAGAGGTCCCTGAGGTTGTCCTCATTTCTTTTGATTCTTTTTTCTTTTTTCCTCTCTGCTTCATTTATTTCCACCATTTTATCTTCTAACTCACTTATCCTATCTTCTGTCTCTGTTATTCTACTCATGGTTCCCTCCAGAGTGTTTTTGATCTCATTTATTTCATTATTAATTTTTAATTGACTTTTTTTTATTTCTTCTAGGTCCTTGTTAAACATTTCTTGCATCTTCTCAATCTTTGTCTCCAGGCTATTTATTTGTAACTCCATTTTGTTTTCAAGATTTTGGATCATTTTTATTATCATTATTCTAAATTCTTTTTCAGGTAGATTCCCTATTTCCTCCTCTTTTGTTTGACTTGGTGGGCTTTTTTCATGTTCCTTTAGCTGTTGGGTATTTCTCTGCCTTTTCATCTTGTTTAGATTGCTGTGTCTGGAGTGGGCTTTCTGTATTCTTGTGGTCTGAGGTTCCTTTTTATTGTGGAGGTTTCACCCAGTGGGTGGGGTTGGACAATTGGTTTGTCAAGGTTTCCTGGTTAGGGAAGCTTGTGTCAGCGTTCTGGTGCGTGGAATTGGATTTCTTCTCTCTGGAGTGCAATGGAGTGTCCAGTAATGAGTTTTGCGATGGATCTATGTGTTAGGTGTGACTTTGGAGAGCCTGTATGTTGACACTCAGGTCTATGTTTCTGCGTTGCTAAAGAATTTGCATGGTATGTCTTGTACTGGAGCTTATTGGCTCTTGGGTGGTGGTTGGTTTTGGTGTAGGTATGGAAGCTTTTGGATGGTCTCTTATTCCTTAATGTTCCGTGTAGTCAGGAGTTTTCTGGTTTTCTCAAGATTTGGGCTTAAGTCTCCTGCCTCTGGATTTCAGTTTTATTCTTCCAATAGTCTCAAGACTTCTCCAACTATACAGCACTGATAATAAAACTTCTAGGTTAATGGTGAAAAGATTCTCCACCGTGAGAGACAACCAGAGAGGTTCACAGAGTTACATGAAGAATAGGAGAGGGAGGAAGGGGATAGAGGTGATCAGGAGGAGAAAAGGGGGACTCAAGAGGAGAGAGACAGATCTATGCAGTTGTCTGTTCCCAAAGTGTTCTCCGTAGCCCAGACACCCACAAAGATTCACAGAGTTGGATTGGGAAGAGAAGGGGAAAGGAGGAAATAGAGGTGTTCCGAGGTAGAAAACAGAGAGTCAAAAGTGGGAGAGTAATCACCACACGCCTGAATAGAAATGGGAACTGAATATTGGATTCTTAAATGACCAAAATTTATATCACATACTACTGAAAAACAAAGATTAAAAATCTAGTGTAGAGGTTAGACTCTTTGAAATATTAAAAAACAAAAACACAAAAAAATTTAGAAATGTATATGAAGTTTGATTTAAAAATAGGGTTTTTCTCTCTTTTTTTTTTTTGGCAAGGTTATAGTGAAATGAAAATTAAGGAATAATAGAGGAGTATTAGAGGACTTTAAAAGGAAATAGGAGAGAAAAACAAGAAAAAGAAAAAAAAAATTTTTTTTCCCTAATTAAAAAAATCGTAAAAATATATGAAAATGAAAGTTGAGGAGTAATGGGGGAGTAATAGGGAATTTTAAAAGAAAATAAAAGAGAAAAATTAAAAAATTTTTTTAAAAAGGAAAGAAAAAAAATTTTTTTAAGTTAAAAAAATATATATACATATATATCTAGGAATTTCTCTGGAGTTGTTGCGGTCAGCGTAGGTTCAGTTCAATTTCAGATAGCTCCTCTTTCTAGTTTACACTTCTTGATATCTGTAGGCCCCTTCCGGTGTAGTCGGTGTTACCTTCAGGGATTTTAATCTGTTGCACCGGTCCTTTCTGAAGCGGTTCCCTTTGTTTATTTGGCTTCTGTTTGCCGTCTCTTTGGTGTCTAATTTCCGCCCTGACACAGGCGGGCGGAGGTGATCTCTTATTCAGGTTCGCTAGTTCAGTTCAGTCCTGCTACGGGGAGGGCGGGGCGCTGCAGACAGATACCGCTCTGTGTGGATAGCACTCACCGTGTTCCGGCCACACTGGGTTTGCCCCGCTCACGGGTGTCAGTGCTTTCGCCGTCTACACTGCTCAGGCTCCCGGCTGCTCTATATGGAGCGGGCCCTGCGTTGAGTGCGGTTCCAGCCCTCGGGCACTCCACAAAAGCGCAGACTCGGCTGCGCCTGCGCTCCGTGCCCTCCCCGGCCTGAGCGGTTCAGGCAGCCAGAGGCTTGGGCGCACTCTCCCCGGGTACGGCGCGCCTTTTCCCTCCGCGGCGGGCAGCTCAGGCAGCTAGAGGCTTGGGCGCACTCTCCCCGGGTGCAGCGCGCCTTTTCCCTCCGCGGCGGGCAGCTCAGGCAGCCAGAGGCTTGGCGCACTCTCTCCGGATGTGGCTCGCCTTTTCCCTCCGCGGCGAGCGGCCCAGGCAGCCAGAGGCTTGGGCGCACTCTCCCCGGGTGTGGCGCGCCTTTTCTCTCCGCGGCGGGCAGCCCAGGCAGCCAGAGGCTTGGGCGCACTCTCCCCGGGTACGGCGCGCTTTTTCCCTCCGAGGCCCCAGCGCGCGCCGCCAGTCGGGTCTCAGGAAGTCTTTAGATAGGAACCGGGGGCCTGTTTGCAGTGTGGGAGGGGGTGGCTTCTCAGGGGCTGAGTTTGCCCTTTTCCCCTGCCCCCTGCCTCCTACCTCCAGCCGGGATGGGCCGGCTCTTCTCTGGACTTTCTCAGTCCCTTTGTTTTGCGAACCGCCGGCAGTGTGTTCGGGCCTGTTAATTTTGACCCTTGCTATCCCACAGTTTAAAAAAGCTCCCTCCGATTGCTCTCAGGGTCTTCGGGCCAGTCCTTACCCTAAGCAATGCCGCCCGCTCCTCTCCGTTCCACCCCGCTTGTTGCTGGCGGGCACGGGCGTCTGGGGTACTTTTCTGCTGGGAGTTGCTTTTAGGCACGTAATCTGTGGGCCCTGTTCAATCTCTCCTCCCAGTTAGATTGCCGAAAACTTCCCCCAGTCCCGCCAGTGCGAGGGTTTCCTGGTGATTGGAAACTTCCTCCACTAAGACTCCCTTCCTGGGACGGGTCCCCGTCCGCAGCTCTTTTGACTCCCCCCTTATCCTTCACATTTTGTCCTACCTCCCTTCGAAGACAATGGGCCGCTTTTCTGGGCGCCCGACGTCCTCCGCTAGCGATCAGAAGTTGCCCTGTGAAATCTGCTCAGCGTTCAAATGTTCCTTCGATGAACCCGCAGGAGAGAAAGTGGTCTCCCCGTCCTATTCCCCCGCCATCTTGGCTCCTTCCTGGCAGGTGGATTCTTTACCACTAGCGCCAACACTGGGGGGAGAGCTGCCTAATCTATTACAAATCTATTATGTTACTGAAATTAGTTTGAAAAGATGGTTCGTCAAGAAGTTTCACAGGCAAAAGCCCTCAACCTACCTAAACACCACTCCCCGCTCACATTTTCTCACCTTCCAGGTGACCCTGTACAAGGGCTCTGACATGGAGGACTTCGGATTCAGTGTAGCAGATGGCTTGCTGGAGAAAGGAGTGTATGTCAAAAACATTCGCCCAGCTGGGCCAGGAGATCTTGGTGGCCTAAAGCCCTACGACAGGCTCTTACAGGTAAGACCTCAGATGAAATTTTATCTAACTCTTTAAAGTCTTATTTGACCAGTGCTCACACATCCTCCTTTGCCTCAAGACCAGATCAGAGGCCCTCCTAGAGAGGATAGACACTTTTTCCCTTAGTGGAATTTACCAGTTACTGAAACAGCGTGTTTCCCTGAGTACATTCCCCAGCAGATTCTAGGCTTCCTGAGAGCAGGCATGTGTGCGTGCTGCTGCTTCATGTCAGTCATGCCAGTCTCTTTGCAAGCCTGCAGACTGCAGCCCACCAGGCTCCTCTGTCCATGGGGTCCTCCAGGCAAGAAAACTGGGGTGGACTGCCATGCTAGTACCTCATTCTCCCATTTCCCAGTGTTTGATATCTCATCTCACACAGTATCTAAAATCCAAAAGTTGAACCTTATTTACGTAATGGAGTAATATCATGATCAGGTTTGGTTTAACTGAGGAAAGCAAATTCCTGGATCTTATGTCCAGTTTTCAGGAACAGCATTTTGCAGGAACAGGAGAAGGGTTGCCACCAGTCTTGACTGAACATGTATTCAAATAGAATGAGTTTGTCCCTAAATAGCTGACTTTCAAAAAGCATGAGGCTGCTCTGATGGTTGGCTTTTAGACACATGTTCACCAAAGCAAGTTTACACTGATTCATTAGACAGTTTTAAAACCAATTCTGATGATCTTTTTACCATGGCAATATAACAATTAGACTTGTCCTAAGACTATGGAACACTTTGGTTTTCCATAGATACTCCAGTATTTGTTGAGTAAATAACGATGGACAAATGATTTGATCTCTGTAAATTAGAGATATACCTACTTTTGTGGAAGATGAGGCTATAAAAGCAGACTGGACTCAGAATTGTGAAGGACACTGAATGCCAAGCTCTTAATTAATATCTTGAGCAGAATGACATATTTCATAATTCAGAAAGACAATACAATCATGTCATAGGTGAACTGCTATAGGGTGAAGGGGAGGATCACAGGAAAGGAGACCAGGAGGGAAGGGTCAGACACTTGTACCAGACCTGGGCCTTTAATGCCTTCTGTGCATCCTGGTGGAGCGGTCTGAAAGGCAGCTTACAGTCTGCATTTGTTGCTTAAGAGAGATGTTAGAGCTAAAACTAAAGATTGGGGATACTGAACACATGGATTTTGATAAAGTTGCCTAGGCTGGATTTCTAGTAAGAAGAGAACTAAAGATAGAATTCTAAGGAAAACAAAATTTAAAGGATAGGATGAAGTAAAGGCAGGGAAGGACTGAAAGTGAGTGGTTAAAATAGTATGAAGGTCAGATCAAGGTGGTGTCATCAGAGCCCAGGAAGGAGTTTTAAGGACGAGTAGGTGTCAAGAGTGGCTAAAGGGGATGAGAACTCAAAACACCATTCCTATGTTGAACAACTGGGGTCATTTATACAATATAAGGCTTCCCTGGTTGCTCAGCAGTAAAGAATCTGCCTGCCAATGCAGGAGACACAGGTTCAATCCCTGGGTCGGGAAGATCCCCTGGAGAAGGAAATGGCAAGCCACCCCAGTATTCTTACCTGGGAAATCCCATGGACAGAGGAGCCTGGCAGGCTACAGTCCATGGGGTCACAAGAGAGTCGGACATGAGTTAGCAACTAAACAACAATACAATATAATGGTCAGGTCCCAAACTGAGAAGGTGGGAGAAAGAATGAAAAGGAATGGAAGCAGCGTGGAGATGATTTTAAACTTGGGGTGGGGGGTGGGAAGAATAAGGAAACACGAAAGAAGATGAGCACATGTACAAGCTCAGAAGGGGGTGGGATCACGACAACTACTGAGGGCAGCAGTTCAGCATCATCAAGAGCACGAGTTTTGGGGGACTTCCCCAGCAGTCCACTGGTTAAGACTCTGCCTTCCAATGCAGGGAGCATGGGTTCAGTGCCTGGTCTGGGAGCTAAGATCCCACATGCTGCAGGGTCTGGCCAAAAATTTTAAAAAAGAAAGAAAAAAAACACAGCACAAACTTCCGAATCAGCCAGACTGCCTGAGATCACATCTTTGCTAGACCACTCACCAATATCCTCTCTGGACCACTTACCAACTGCTGGTCTTAGGCACTTCTCTTAACAATTATGTGCCTCACTTTCCTCATCTGTATATCGGGGATGACAGTCAGCACTTTGGAGCACCTGCCCTGAGTAAGGCTATTTGCTCAGCTTGGGGATGTTAGATGTGTCCCTGTTCCCTGCTAACAAGGGCCTCACAATTTAGTAGCAGAGAATAAGTAAGTGTATACCCATCTTATAGTGTGCTCAGGGCTGGGATAGACTCTGTACAGAGTGCTTATTATATCGGAAATGCTACTCTGGGTTTTGGGGATTATAACAGTAATTCACCACAGCACTTCTTGCCATTTCAGGTTAATCACGTCCGAACAAGAGACTTTGACTGCTGCCTTGTTGTACCCCTCATAGCAGAATCTGGTAATAAGCTGGACCTGGTTATTAGTAGAAACCCCCTGGCTTCACAGAAGTCCTTAGAACACACTCTACCAGGAGGAGAATGGAGTGAACAGAACAGTGCTTTTTTCCAACAGCCGAGCCACGGTGGTAATTTGGAGATACGAGAACCCACTAATACACTATAGCAACGCTTTTTATAAAGCGGGACAAAAGACAATATCTACATGGTGCTAAAAACAAAAAACAATCCCTTATAAGATTTCTGTGACATCTGAAGCACAGATAATCACGTGGCATTAACTGCAAGCACAGGGGTCTTTTAAATCTCTCATGGCTCATGTTCACTTCCCTTTTCAAGTTGAAGAGGTTTCTTTGTTGGTGATCACTATGGTATATGACAGGCAATCCCCTGCCAAACCCAATGGTAGAGAAAAAGAAAAACAGGCCACCCCTCTCTACAGTTAACATCAGAGGACATTTTTCCACAAGTCCATCTTCCTGTTCCTTTTTAAAAAGAGAAATGTCTGTTTGAAAATAATTTACTTAATTCACTTTGAAATCAGTTTCTTACTACAAAGTTATTCATGTAAGAATTTAACTGACAAGGCTTTTCATAAAGCTGGCTCTGCTAGAACTAGTCTGGTGAACTGCTGGGACTTCTGCTATGGGAGGGGTACAGGTATAAAATTATCTTACAACGTTTCAGCAACGGTGCACGTAGGAGACCATAATAGGTGGTGGTAAATGTTTTGCCCAAGTATAGGAATGATTTTAACTAAGATGTATGCTATTCCCTATGCAACAAACTATCAAACAGGATATGTCTTGTGACCTGTTCTTTTTTTTTTTTTTTTTAAGGACACATTTTTTTAATAGCTGAAAACTCTCTGGTAATGAATTAAGGTGTTTAGTAACACTGAGAATTAGTTAAATTATCTTATTTTTAAAATTCAAGACTAAGAATTTAAGGGAGAATGAAGAGTCTATTAAAATGAGGTTTATCTTAAGGATAGGCAAATCAAACTCATACTGCTTGACATGTTTTGAAAACTGGTTATACTGAGGGGTGTACAGCACATGTGCGTAAATGACTCTGGACTGTCTTTTGTTCTGAGCCATGCCACTGACTGAAATTGTAAATACATTTTCACAAAATGCATTGCCAATTATTACCATCCCCCAAAGCAATAAACTGTAACAGTTGCTTTTAATGTCTGTCAGCAACTGTTTTCATTTGTTCAGATATTTTGAATAGTTACACTAATAACTGTTATTTGGTGAATATTAAAAAAAATAGATCTGTATATTGATTGTAGAATCTCCATACTGAAAAATTATTTTCCAAACATTTTTATTTTGGTCAATAATTAAAACAACTGCTTAGGTAAAGCATCTGAACACTGTGTCCTTTGTTTAAGGAAAAAGTTCACCTTTCGTTTCTGTGCAAAGAAATATATTATTTCAATCATATTTCAGAACCGCCAGGGCAAGAAAGTATAAAGCAGAATCATGTTAAGAAAAAGATCATGAGTCACTTAAATATGTATTTTTATTTGTAACAAACAAGTATTAAACTGTAAAGTATTTTTGTACAAATTTAATACTTTAATAGCATGGTATTTATCGTCTATGTATGGTTTTGGGGAATTCAAAATTGTTGCAAATATTTGTATGGGAATAAAAAACCCTCTACCAAATGGAATAAACAGTGATTTTAAAAAGCCAAAAAAAAAAAAAAATTGACCTTTTTTTTTGGTGCTTTGGATATATTTTAGTTTTCTATACTGAGCCCTACACAATACTAATGGTTGCATAATTTTCTAAAGGAGGAAGATTTTGCCATAAACTTGAAAAGCAGCATGGAAGAGAAGAGCTATGGTTTTGATATTTGATCTGGGTTTGAATTCCAGCTTTGATACTCACTGAGGGTATGAAATTTACTTTCTTGAGTCAGTCTTCCCACCTGTGACACTGAAGGTCATTCCAATACTTTCATGAAGAGAGGTGTGACACATATGTAAAAATGCTGAAAGAGCTGGCAAACAGGAACACCTCTAAGACTAATGATAACATTTATATTAGGTGAAAAAGCTTGATCTTGAGTCTAACTTAAGGATCATATCTACCCCCTGAGAACACTGTATGTAGTCCATAAAATATATTTTCAAAAACTATTATCATGATTAAAATTTACATATTAAAAAAAAGAAAACTATACCTTATAGTCTTAACATTTTCATTTTTGCAAATTGCCTAGCAGGCTTTGTAAATTCACAGGAACAAGTCAGGATGTCCTTTCTTGCCACTTCTTCTTAACGGTGTACCAGAGGTTCTAGCCAGGGCAGCATAACCAGTAAATGAAACAAAAGGCAACTAAATTGGAAAGGAAGTAAAACAAACTCTACTTGCAGATGACAGAATCTTATATATACCAAAATCTTAAGGAATCTGCTAAAAAAACCTATTCAAATAAATGAGTTTTAGCAAGGTTGCAAGATACAAGATCAATATATAAAAATCAACTGAATTTCTATATAGTATTAATAAACAAAAATAAGAAAATAATTATAGTCTCATATGATCAAAAATAAAATAGGAATAAATTTAATGAAAGTACCAGAGTAGGTGTGGAAGATGGCAGAGTAAAAGACCCTGCACTCACCTTCTCTCACAAGCACCAAAGTTCTAACGCAGAGGTTCTCCCACAAGAATGAGAGTTCTGATCCCCCACATAAGGCTCCCCAGCCCAGGGCTCCAGCACTGGGAAGACAAGCCCCCAGAGCATTGGCTTTGAAGGCCAGCACTGAGGGCTCCCCTGGTGGCAGCGGTAAAGAATCCGCCTGCCTATTCAAGAGACACAGTTTCAATCCCTGGGTCAGAAAGATCCCCTGGGGAAGGAAATGGCAACCCACTCCAGTATTCTTGCCTTGGAAATCCCATGAACAGAAGAGCCTGGCAGGCTACAGTCCATGGAGTCGCAAAAGTCAGACACGACTTAGCGGCTCAACAACAAGGCTGGAACTGCAGACGCTTCCCAGGACTGGGAAACAGACACGTCACTCTCAAAGGGCACACGCAAAATCTCACACACACCAGGATCACACACACTACAAAGAACCAATGATGGGCTAAATGATACAGGAGAGTGTATCAGTGAGCTGGAAGACAGTAGTGGTCACTGATGCTGTCCAGAAACAAGAAAGAAAACAAGGACAGTTTAAGACACCTCTGGGGCAACATTAAACACATTAATATTTGCATTATAGGGGTGCCAGAAGAAGAAGAGAGAAAGGACCTAAGAAAATATTTGAAGAGATAAAAGCTGAAAACCTTCCTAACCTGGGGAAGGAAATAGTCAACCCATATCCAGGAAACACAAAGCTTCATACAGGATTAACCCAAAGAGAACCAAATCCGCCAAGACACATTGTAATCAAAAATGCCAAAAATTATAGAGTGAATACTAAAAGCAGGAAGGGAAAAGCAACAAATAATATACAGGGGAATTCCCATAAGCCTGTAAACTGATTTTTTCAGCAGAAACTGCAGACTGGAAGGGAGTGGTACAATATATGTAAATTGATAAAAGGGAAGAATCTACAACCAAGAGCACCCTACCCAGCAAGGTTTTCATTGAATAAATCAAAAACTTCACAGACAAGCAAAAGCTAAAAAAATTCAGCCCCAACAAAACTAGCTTCACTACAAATGTTAATGGAACTTCTCTAGGCAGAAAAGGCCACAAGGAGAAACAAGAAAATTATGGAAGGAAACAATCTAAACAAGAAAATTATGGAAGGAAACAATCTATCAGTAAAGGCAAATATAAAGTAAAGGTAGGTAATTATCCACACACAAAACTAGTAGAGATATTAAAAGATAAAAACAGTAATATCACCTGTATCTATAATAAGCAGTTAAAGGACACAAAAAACAATTAGATGTAAAATATGGTATCAAAAACAGTAATCATGAGGGGAAGAGAGTACAAATGCAAGGAATATTTAAAATGCATTTGAAATGAAGAGATCAGCCACCTAAAACAATCACATTTATATATAGACTGCTATATGAAAAGCTTAGGGTAACCACAAACCAAAAATCAATACTAGATATACACACAAAAAAAGAAAAAGCAGTCCAAAATAACACTAAAAATAATCAAGTCATAACAAAACAAGGAGAAAAAAGAGACCTACTAAAACAAATCTGAAACAACAGAAGAGTAACAAAACATACACATCAATACTTTTCTTATAACACTAAAAATAATCATCAAGTCATAACAAAACAAGGAGAAAAAAGAGACCTACTAAAACAAATCTGAAACAACAGAAGAGTAACAAAACATACACATCAATACTTTTCTTAAGTGTAAGGGGACTAAATGCTCCATCAGAAGAAACAGACTGCCCAAATGGTTACAAAAACAAGACCTGTATATATGCTGCCTACAAGAGACTCACTTTAGATCAAAAGTCACATACAGACTGGAAGTGAGAGGGTGGAAAAAGACATGCCATGCAAATGGAAAAACGAAGAAACAGAGTAGCAATACTTGTATCAGACAAAACAGACTAAAAAAAGACTTACAAGAGACACATTTTTTTTTATGGTGGGCTCTTACTCTACCATACAAAAAAAATTAACTCAAAATGAATCAGAGTTAAAATGTAAGACCTAGAACTATTTAACTCTCAGATGAAAAAACAGAAGTCTTCATAATGGATAAGCAATGGTTTCACAGGTATAGCACCAAAAGCACAAATAATAATAACAAAAATATATACATTAGACATTATCACAGTTAAAACTGTTTCAAAGGATACCATAAAGTGAAAATAAGATCTACAAAATGGGGGAAATTTTGCAAATAACATTTCTAATAAGATACTGGTATACAGAATATATAAAGAACTCATACTAGATAATAAAAAGAAAAATAACCCAAAACTGTAAGTGGACAAAGGATCTGAACAGACACATCCCTGAGAAAGACATACACGTGGCCAGTAAGCACATGAAAAGATGATCAACATCATTAGTCATAAGGGAAATGCAAATCAAAACCATAATGATATGTCACTCCATATCTACTAGGATGGCTCCAATTAAAAAGTCAGGTAATCATGAATGTTGGACAGAATGAAGAAGCTGGAACCCTCGCACCCTGCTGGTGTCAACAGACAATGGTACAGCTGCTTTGACAAAGTCTAGCAGTTCCTCGAAAAGCTAAACAGAGTTACCATGTGACCCCGCGATTCCACACCAAGGATATACTTAAAAGAGATGAACATGCATACCTGTACAAAAACTTGTACACAGCATTACTTATGATAGCCAAATAGAGGAAACAACCCAAATATCCATCCACTAATGAATGGATAAATTCAATGTGCCATATCCAAGCAATGGAATATTTGGTAATAAAAAGCAATGAAGGGATTTGCCTCACTGCACTACTAAAAGCAAGAAGGCCTATTAGCAGCTCTACTGGAACCACTTGCAAAAATTCAGCCAAGGTTCCTGATCTCACAATATCAGCTCAGACCAGCATGGTCTCACCTGGAAATATAACATCAATACACACCACCAGTTTTTCCTTCAGTACACAAAGGATATAGTTACAATGTGGATGAAGTCCGAAAACATTATTCTAAGTCAAAGAAGTCAGTAACAAGGGACCATATATTGTATAATTCCATTGGAGAAGGGAAATATAGAAAACTCTCAAAAAAAAAAAAAATTGAATCACTCTGAGAGAAAAAATATTTTCAAAGTGGAAAATTTTTAAAACAATAAGAAATGATAATTGTGTGACATGATAGACACGTTAATGCTACAGTGGTAATATTGCAATATAGAAGTATTAAACCAACATGATACACATTATATCTTAAATTAAACAAAAACCAATGAAGTCCCTGCTCAGAAGGAATTTTCCAGGAAAATGTACCTAGGAGACCCAGGCAGCAGTGATGGAGCAAGTGGCAACCTTGAGAGGTGACCAGTTTACGGTACACAAAATACCCTAGAATATGTGTTAATAATTTAAGAGATGGAATTAGTTTATCTTTACCATTGCTTCAACCCATTAGCAAAGATCACCCACAATGATGATGGAAGTTAATAAGGCATTATTCTAAAAATAAAACAATTTTAAAACACTTTTAAAATTCCATGGGCAGAAGAGCCTAGCAAGATATATAGTCCATGGGGTCGCAAAGAGTCAGACACAATTGAGCAACTGAATAGGAAAGTTCAGAGTTTTAAAAAATATATATATAACATATTTTCCCCTCAAATATGACCAGTGCTACCAGTTCTCCTGATGACAGATGTCAATATCATTAAGATTTTCTTTGATGAATAAATTTAAAACCGCTGCTAATACAAATAAAAATACAAATACCGTCCTCTTTTGTCTGAATCCTTTGAAGCCATGATTTCATTTTGTATTGAATGGAAAAAACAGACAATTATTTTGAGCAATCTGAACTAAAACTAAGTTTCTTGATTATTTGTGGATTTGAAAAGTTGCCTGGGGGTTAAACTATTTAGTCTCAAATTCTGAAGCTTAGAAGACACTTGTGGAGATGATTCTTCCACCTGTTGGAACAATAAAAATAACGTTAGTTTTATAGAAATGTAGTTGGTCTACCGTACGTACTTCTATTCCCTCTGACTGCTTCTCAGGAACGTCATACATTTTCCCACTTCTTGAGCACACCTGAACAATCAGTTGTCATTCTGCTTAGGCTTAGTGTGAACACCCCAGTCCCCACCTCCAGGACTGGCATACAGAAGTGACTATTTGCTGAATAAGTACATATATCTAACTTCTAAGAGTGTGGACAGGGTCCACTACATAATTTGGCAGTGCAGAAGTAAAATGTAGGCAAACTTCCCTGGTAGTATAGTGGATGGGAATCCATCTGCCAATGCAGAGGACATGGGTTCGATCTATGATCTGGGGAGATGCCACACGGCAACTATGCCCGTGAGCCACAACTACTGAAGCCTGTGTGCCTAGAGCCTGTGGTCTGCAGCAAGAGAAGTCAGCACAATGAGAAGCCCCAACATGGCAACACGGAGTAGCCCCGCCTGCCACAACTAGAGAAAGCTCGCACACAGCACCGAAGACATGGCCAAATAAATACATAATTTAAAAAATTAAAATGTGGGCCCCTTGTTCAAAAATTAAGAATTTCAAGATGACAAGAAGAGAACATTGCAAGCATAGGGTTCCTTCTAAGCAGGAAGCCCTGTATGACCGACTGCCCAGGATGCCCATCCATGATGCCAGCCATAGGTGTGGTTAAGTTGAAACACTCCAACTACATAAGTGCACTCTTGGTACTATTAGTATTCCCAAGCACTGGTCAATGGACCAGTACAGTCACGAAAAAGATTCACCACCACAGAGAAAGAGAAAAATAAAATCCAACTCATCATTCATCTTGCTAAATCTGTTCAGTTTAGAGAACTGTGATAGTTAATTTTATGTGTTGATGTGGCTAACCCAATATTTGGTCAAATACTGTTCTACATGTTTCTGGGGAAGTATTTTTTACTTGAGACTAACAGTTAAATCAGTAGACTGAGTAAAATGGGTTACCCTCCAAAGTGTACATAGGTGGGCTTTATCCAATCAACTGAAAGCCTGAACAGAAAAAACTGACCTCCCCTAAGGAAGAAGGGATTCTGCAGTAGGGCACCATGAAATTAACTCTTCTCTGAGTATCCTCTCGGCCAGCCTACCTGCATATTTTGGACTCTTCCATCACCAGCCCTCACAATGGCATAAGCCAACTCCTTAAAATAAATCCCAAAAGATAGATTAGACAGATTAGATAGACAGATATAGACACACACGCTATTGGTTCTGTTTCTCTAAGAAACCCTGAGTAATACAAGGACTATCTTTATTCAGAGACTATATGATATCTTTCTTTTTTTAAATGAAAATGTCATTTGCTTTCAAGAAATTCTGGAAATCAATGCTTTAAACAGATAAAATTTAGCAGTATTTTACACATATGTTTTTATTTTAAGGTTCATTTTTGTCCCCCGACCTTTTTTGTTCAGTGGTGGAAGGCTAGGCAAAAGAAGGGAAGAAAAAAAAAACACAGGTCAACATTTTCTTTGAAGACTCTTTTCAAAACTCAAAGCTATGAATCGATGGAAAGGCAAAGATTTTCATCTAGGGAGGGGCTCGGGCATTTCAGTCATTGGTATGTGTAGAATTTAAAGATTTGGCTCTCATGTAGCAATGTGAATATGAAGGATGAGAATGCGGGCAGCCCTCGTCATTGAATTTGATCTTTTACAAATGACACACCTCGATGCACCTGAACGTGTATTATTATAAAACACAGAAGTCCTTAATTTATCAGTCCTGAATTCTAGTTTCCTTGTTTCTAGGGATTCTTGCAAATGCCACATACTTCTGGCAAAGCATGTGAGAAACGGATCCTTTTCACGTGGACAGCCCTATTGGTGCTGCTATGCGGGGCTAACAGCCAGCGCTGGGCAGCCCCTACTCTTCGTGTTCACAGACCTTTTGTGACGCCAGCCTCCCCCACAGCTTAAAAGCTTTGGCAAGCTCAAAACTGAAGATAAACAGTGCTGCCAATTTCTCTGTGCACCATCATACAAACCGTAATTCCTCCCTCCCACGTTGGTGCTAAGAAATAAAAAGCAGACACTTTTAGAAAAAGATTCTTTCCTTGGAATTGCCTGTTTTCTGCTGCAGGTCAAAAGCTTTATTTATCCAGGGTCTCTGTAAGAGGTAACATAGTTAATTCTCTTTTTTTTAAGTATTTTTAGCCGAGATGGAAATTCAATCTCAGCCGAGTCAATCTCAAGGACAGAATGAAGCACAGGCTTCCCAGGCGGCTCAGTGGTAACGAATCCACCTGTCAAAGCAGGAGACCCGCCAAAGCAGGAGACCCGGGAGACTTGGGTTTGATCCCTGGGTCAGGAAGACTCCCTGGAAAAGGAAATGGTAACCCACTCCAGTATTCTGGCCTGGAAAATCCCAGGGACAGAAGAGCCTGGCAGGATACAGTCCATGGGGTTGTGAAGAGTTGGACACAACTTAGCAACTGAGCATGCACACCGAATGAAACAGTATCAGCAGTGATCTTACTTCTTTGAAGAAGAAGGAAAAAAATCTTTTTTCTGCTATGTCCACTTTCATCACTTTCCGCATAAAACCTGTCCTTTGGCCTCTTTTCCCAGTTCTGGTTAATGTTACTTGGAGCCACTCGGGTGTCCAAGGCAGAAGCCTAGCCATCCTCCTCAGGTTCAGCCTTACAAACAACTGTCCATTATGTCCACTGACTCTATCCCTTAGCATCTCTACTACCTCTTTAGAGCCTACTCATTTTGCCCAACCTACTGAAATAATCTTTTTGCTGGGAACTCAGTCCCTAGTCTCTCCCTTTCCACATCCACTGAACTGCAAAGTCAGCTTCATAAATTTCAAATCACAGAGCTTTTAAAATGCTTTCCAGTGCTCCCCACTGCAACCAGTAGAACATACAGTCTCTTTAGAAGAGCCTGGTCTCTTTCCCAAGTGTCCTCAGCTCAACTTCTCATTTGTATGCCGTGTTCCACCCGTGCTATTCCATACCTGTTGTTGTCTAATATGCCTTAGAGAGCCTTTTGCGGGGCACCCCATTAGAGAATTTTTGAAGATCTCACATTCATGTGGGCTCAAAAGTAGAGAAGTTTCCTTTAGAGCTCAGCCTGGTAAAGGCAGGTTACATTAACATTTTCTCCTCTGAGTTCCCACAGCAGCCCCTTCTTATAATTGTCACCATGTTGGAAGCCTAAAGACTCACCCTTAACAAGTCTGCTACTGGCACATAAAGGCTGTGTAAGAACGACAATTGGAGGTAATTTACAATCCCATCTTTTTTACACAAAACGGCATCACCGACTTGAATCGTCTAACTTCTAAAACTAGGAAACAAATGATTTCGGATTATTTCTAAAAACCAAAAGAGGTCTCAGTAGAAGTTTGTTTCCCTTAGAAACATTCCAAAGGATCTTTTACTGCCTCTAAAAGTGATTCTCAGGACTTCTTAAAGCGAGGAGGGAGCACTACAAGAACAAATATGACTTTGAGCATGGACATGAAAGAACAATACCCTGGAGGTCTGATTTCTTTTTTTAAAAGCGGCTTCACTGCCATACTCAGCTTATATTTTAATCGCTATGCATTTTTAAAGTGTTATCATGTGATCAGCAATCGTGATGCAAATGCTGTCCTCAAGAGTCAAGCAGAGCGGCTTCAACTGCAGTAAAAAAGGCGTGTGCCGCCCAACCACTTTAGGACAAACTGGAAACGGAGCTGGATTCTGCTAGGAAAAGAGAAAGGATGGGAGAGGGCAGCCCGACAAGAACTACTTCATCTTCCCTCCACACAACCCAACAACGGACAGCATCCCTTCCCTTCAAGTGCAATGGAAGAAGGATCCCCTGTTCCCAATCCTATCTGCTCATGCTCTGAGGGACAGTCTGATGGACTGTCCTCATCTCACCCACTTCGGGACTCCATTCCTGCAATGATCTCCCTCTCTCTCAATCATGAATTTCCTGTTTTCCATTGAACCATTCCATTAACACCCCAGGATGCCTTAAAATAAGGCATCCCTCTAAAATAAATAAACCAGTAAATCCTTCCTTGACCATGAGTCCTCCATCCACACACAATGCTCTCTCTCTGTGCCTCTCTTCGTAGCGACCTTCTCCTAGAACCCTGCCTCCACTTTTCTCTTTAGGCCCTCACCTCCTCGTCCCTGACCAAGCCACTCTAGGCAGGCTCTCGTCCCCTCCCCACCACTTCGGTCTTCCTTCTCTCTCACTCACACTGCTTCTCAGTCTCCTTTGCCAGCTCCTCCTCCTCTGCCAGATCTCTAAAGTGAGGAGTATCCCCCCGCCAAAAACGCCTTAAGGTCTCCTCTTCTACCTGTGGCGTCTCCTCAAATTCGCCCGCCCTTAGATGCTCGTGACGCCTAACTGGACATTTTGGGCTTTCCTGGTGGCTCAGTGGTCAAGAATCCACCTGCCAATGCAGAAGACATGGGTTCGATCCCTGGGTCAGAAGGGTCGCCTGGAGAAGGAAAAGAGCAACCCACTCCAGTAATCTTGCCTGGGAGATCCCATGGACAGAGGAGCCTGGTGGGCTACAGTCTATGGGGCTGCAAAAGAGTCAGACTTAATGACTGAACAACTTTCCTAACCTACCCTGAGGCTCTAAACTTCCCTGCCAACCACTGCCTTTCTCAATAAATCCACATATACGTCTAATCGTCTAATTGATAACCTAAACACAACATGTCAAAAGAGATCCCTTCATTTCCCCAAACCCAGTTCTCCTCATGTCTTTCCTATATTAAGAAACAGCACTACAATTCACCAAGTTGCTTCAGGCAGAAATCAGGAATCATCCTGGGTTACTGCTTGTTTTACCCCCTCACATCCAATCAAGTCAGACAGACCCCATCTTCAATGGGTACCAAGACTCCAACCACTGGGGACTTCCCAAGCAGTCCAGTGGTTAAGACTCAGCACTTCCAATGCAGGGGCCACAGTCTGCTCCCTGCTCAGGGAGCTGAAATCCCACATACCATATGGCGCAGCCAAATTAAAGGAAAAAAGAATCTGACCACTTTCCATCCCCCTCCCCGCTCTTTCACTGCTCTCCCTGGGATGACTGGTCTTCTTGTTTCCACCTTCCTTTCCACAGGTCACTCTCCACAGCAGCTGAAGGGATGGTTGTCAACCATACATTAGATGGTAATACACCTTTCCTAAAAGCCCAGCGATGGATTCCCACTGCAAGTAGAATAAAATCCTAGCTGCCTTCCGTGGTTCTGCCTATCTCTTTAACATCACATATTCTCTCTTTCTCACTCACTAGGCACACAGGTCTCTCTTCCTCTTCTAATGAGGTCATTCCTTTCCAGGCCTGGCATCTTCTACACCCTCTGCCTGGGACCCTCTTCCCTGGAGCCCCACCTGGCTGGCTTATTTGCATCCTTTAGTGCTCAGCTCAAACATCACCTCCTCAGAGAGGACTTAGCACACCATCGTGGCCCAGGACCACCTCCTGCCCCATTAACCTCTACTGACCACTGCCTACCTCATCACCTATATTTTCTTTATAGGATCTTTCTTAATCTGGAAACTTTATTTTCTCTGGTATGGGTTGCCTTTGAACAAATGGTACAATGTAATGGCCATGAAGCCAAGAACCTGTTTTTTTTTCCCTCTAGATCACTTAGATCAGGGACCAACAGAAGAGCTACCATTTTTTACTTTTCTAAATGCGAATGAGGGGACGCAGAGAGAAGGAGGCATCCAAGCCAAGTTGCAGAACAAAAACCAAAAGGAAGAGACATGAATAAGTTTGGTTAAATGTGGTGAATGAAGAGACTAGAGTGACAAAAACAAAAGCAAAAAAACAAACCAAAAAAAGGAATAGTGGGAAAAGAAATGATGTTAGGGAAGATGGACCCAAACAGAGAAAAGCCTCAAATGGCTGAGCTACAGCACCTGAAATTTACGCAGCAGGTCCTAAGGAGCCACTGAAGGCTTCTGAACACAGGGATGAGCTTAGCACTTAGGGGGTAAATTTGGTAACAAGGTGTAGGGTCTATTCGGAGAAGGCAATGGCAGCCCACTCCAGTGCTCTTGCCTGGAAAATCCCATGGACAGAGGAGCCTGGTAGGCTGCAGTCCATGGGGTCATGAAGAGTCGGACACGACTGAGTGACTTCACTGTCACTTTTCACTTTCATGCATTGGAGAAGAAAATGGCAACCCACTCCAGTGTTCTTGCCTGGAGAATCCCAGGGATGGGGGAGCCTGGTGGGCTGCCATCTATGGGGTCACACAGAGTCAGACACGACTGAAGCGACTTAGCAGCAGCAGCAGCAGCAGGAGGTGGTTCATCACCTCCTCTTCAGCATTAACAGCATTCAGTGAAACACTTAACTTGGTGAAACATTTCCTGAAACACAAAGTTTCTTCCACAGCCTATCCATCTCCACCACGGGCCACCTAGGCATGAATTCCCAGTGCCTGGAATGTAGTTGACAGCTGAAAACTATTTGCTGAACAAATCACTAATGCAAAGATTACAGCTAAAACTGAGAACAAGATCAGTTCTCAAGGGAAAAGAGAACTGAACCTTGGAAAGATGTCTCTGGTCTGAGAAGGAGAAGAAAAGGAGTAAAGAAATGAAGGGAAGATGAGCCAGAGACAGAGGGGAAGTATTAAATCAGGGAACACTGAAACCAAGAGAAGGAAACACGGAAATAGCAATTGCAGTTAAAAATACTGACTGTCGGGGGGAAAGTCCAGAATGAGACCTAAGAAAAGACCTCTGAAGTTGGCAAGAAGATGACTGGGACCAGCCACTTCAATGGAGCTGTGAGGAAAAAAGTGAGACCATACCTATGGAAGGAAAGGGAAGGTGATGAGGAAGATGAGCAAAGAAGGTGATGGAAGATTAAGAAGACCCTCCTGGCATGCCATCCCCACTCATCAATCCATCAACATTGTCCAGAGTGCCAGCCTCAAGAAGAGGGAGAAACCTCCAACCAAAATCAAGCTAAGATTCAACTGGATATAGAAGAAGAATGGAAATCTGACAGAGGTGAGAGGAACAGTTGTTTTTTAAGTCCTGCAGCACCATGTAGCAGTAATAAAAAATACACAGTCATTTATAAGCACGCTGAGGCCAGCAATATTTAAACAAAACCTGAATATCAGTCCTACCATAAGAATTTTGCTTGGACTTTCAGCATCATTCAAGCAACATGTTCTTTTGGACCCTCTCAGTTGTGACGGACTCTCAGCTGCATCCACTTCATCATATGAAGATAATTCCCATCCTTCAGCAAAGGCAAGCAGCGTGTCATCAGCCACAGAGTCCTCACTTCTGGGGCTATCATCTGTCACCGTGTCAGCCGTGACTGTGGAGAGCGGAGATGCTGACGGCTGTGTGCTGGGTCTCCTGCTGTCTTCAGGGCTTTCTGATGAGGATGCAAACTCTGCTGGAGATGTAGAGCTCCCGGAAAGTTTGTTTTGCAGAAAATGTTTTAAACGAGTTTTCCTAGGAACGCTCTTTCTCATGATGGCACTCCTAAGCTGAGACTCTTCTGCGATGACGTACACTCGGCAGCGGCCCCGGGTCACGGCGGTGTACACGTGCTGCCAGTGCTGACGGCCCGCCTTCCCCACCACGTACACGACCGTCTTCTCCTCCGAGCCCTGAGAGGAAAGAATGCACGCGGCAGTCTTACTACTGCATCACGGGTTCACTTCCCCGACAGTCTACAAAGGTAGAAAGGAGACACGTCCTCCAAGTGCTCTCAAGCACATTCAGCCCGGCCAGAGTATTCAGATGAATCCCCCTGAGGTGTTCATTTTACTCATTATCCCAGAATTGCCATTTTCTAACTACGCTGCTAAGTTTAGGTATCAGAGACCCACAACTGGTTTATAGAAACCCAGCAATAAACTTCAAGCTGCATGCAGTGCTAAAGCTTCCCTAATAAAAGGGTTTGAAATGGTTGTATGGGCTTTATGTATGTTACTTATATAACAAAAGCACACACCTGAAATATCCAGGAACAGGGCAACAGATAAATAAATATAGGTGAACATATTTGTTTTTCTATATCAAGTATCTATATATGTTGCAAATATCAAAGATGCTTTACAATATAACAAAATTTTTAAAAACTGGAAACATATGTATAAAAATGATCACAACCACGTAACACAAAATAAAATTATTCTGATCTAAAAAATACAAAGTGAACACAAATATGTAACAAAAACAAGATAAATCGCAAAACAGGAAGAAAATTCTACCAAAAATTTAACCAGTCTGTTAAACCTATGGATGATTTTTTTTCTTCCACTTTCCGTATTTTTCCGATGTTGAACCATTTATTATTGATATGTTCATCAAGATAAACAAAACAGAACGACAAACCTTGATTTCAGGGTTTAGCAAACCAAGAACTGCATAGGCCAAAAAAAATGCCCAATGTCACCAAGTAACTGTGGGAAAACAATTTCAAGAAAACAATATCAAACTGCGGCTATCCTTAATCCCTATGTTTTCAGTGCCAATGTAGACCAAGAAAGGGCTGGAACCATTCTCTCTCCCTATGCTCCCACATTCCTCTGCTGAAAGAGGAATTGTGAGGAGACAAAGAACAGGATGAAGCATGTAGAAAATACAGATTTGCACTTAAAAACAAACCCGTACACACCAAACACTTCCACCTTCCTGGACACAGAGTTTGAATCAACACTTTAGATCATAAAAGTTTGATAAATGTTTCCTTCTAATGCTGCTGAATCTCAGAAATGAAATTAAATGATACTTATTTCTACAAAAGCTAAATACATTTGCCAGATATACAGCACCAACACCCTGCCCTTGTACTTTATATTGTGTTTTCCTAAACAGGTAAACGTCTACCTAAACTTGGCTGAGTTCTTAAGCACCCTATAAGTCTCACTGAGAAAAATTTAATAGCCTTGTAATCAGTCTCCCTGAACCCACATTCACTGCAATACACTGTCCTCCCAGCAGCCACATCTGTCAAATGCAAACCCAGCCACATCAGATTTTGCTTAAAACCCATTAATGGCTCCCTGGGCTCTCAAAAAAGTCCTAACTCCTTAATATGGCTCCTACAGCCTTTCAAGAGCCAGCCTTGGCCCTGTTCCCTTCTTCCCTTCCCACATGTTAGGCTCCATCCAGCACAAAAAACATCCTTGTGGTCCTGCCTGTGCCCCCATTCCCTGGCCTCCATCTGACCCCCAGATCAGCTGCACCATCACACACTTTCCAGAATCATGTACTTCCACCATCACAGGAGTTTTACCAGACTGGACTGTCACCAACTGCCTTAACTGCACTTCTCACTGGACTGTAAGTTCTGTGAAGGCAGGATCATGTCTGTCTTGCTCACTGTTCTTCATCCGGTGTCTCACTGAATGAACGAGGATAAAAATTAAATTGCAGCCAAAGCTGTGCTCCGAAAGCAGGACATGGGCACCTATCTCATTGACCTACCTCACTGACCTCCGTGTCTTTAAGTCTTCCTCAGGTCATAAACCACTGCCAAATTAAAGGAGGCAAGTTTTATTTATTTCTCTAAATTTGTTCTGAAACTCAACAACTTGTACAAAGAGATACAAAGCATTAATACCCTTCAAGATTTTATGGACCTAGAATCTGAAAGTCTATATAGACCTTAGTCTATATAGGGGTCAAAAACGTTTTCTGTGAAGGGTCAAAGTATCAGTATCTTAGGCTTTGCAAACCAGATGGTCTCTATGGCAACCAGCTCTTCCTTTGCAGTGCAAGAGCAGCCATAAGCAACATGTAAATGAATGTGGGACTCGGTTCAAATAAAAATCTATCTGCCAAAACCGGTGGTGGACTAGACTTGGCTTCCACATTGGATTAACGCAGCCCTAGAAGGCCCAGGAAGGGACCTGGCCCACACGCCTCTGACCTCGTCTCCTGTCCCTGTCCCACACTGCCCCCCTTGATGTTCCCGGTTCTCAAACCTGCCAGCCAGCCTCCCATCTTAGCACTCCAGCCTTTGCTATTCTGTCCACTTAGAATGTTCTTCTCCCAGATAGTCACAAGGCTAAACTCCGGTATTTCCTTCGAGTCTTTGCTCAAATGCCATCTTCTTAGTGAGGCCCACCCTGACCACCTGTTTAGAATCACACCAACAGCGCATCCTCACCTTTTTCCACAGCATTTACCACCTTCTCATGTAATGCATAGTTTACTTGTTTTTTTTTTACAATTGCATCTGTTTCTATCTTCTTCCCCACACCGAAGAGAGTCTGACACATTACATATTTGTTGAACTGAACTTGAAGAACAAAGTATGCTGACACAAGACAACAATCACAGATTTTCTCAGAGGTAAGAGACATTATTATTTCAACCATGAAATAAGAGCCATATTCAATGGGAAAAAATTCCAAGGTATCTACTCCAACCTCCACCCAGTAATAATAAAAACCCTTCACTATTTATTTGTCTAGAAATGCAACAGAAAGACTGGATTGTAAATTTGAAGAAATCTCTCAGAAAATATAGCAAAATGCTAATGAAACTGAAAATAGGAGAGCTAATAAATTCAGGTAACCAGTTCCGAAGTCCAATAACTATATAATAGAACTTCTAAAAGAACTTCTAAAGACCAGAGAAAGCTGAGGATGAGATAATGAAATTATCTAAGAAAATTTCCCAAAAGTGAAGAATATGAGTTTCCAGAATTCTAGAGTCCCCATTCTCAAGATCCCTGGGAGAAATTTCTCCAGGATCTCACAGCAAGGAATATTTGCCTTTCTCAACAACTGTTTGTTCATTTTCTTTAATCCAATAGACACAGTCAACTAGCAGCTTGTTTCTTTGCTTTGGGAACTCTGTCCTCAAGGAAACTTAAAGCAAATCTGCAGTTTATATTAACAAGCAAATAGGACAGTGTATATAGTCATCCCAATCCACTCCTGGCAGGAATCCTTTTGCCATCTTCACCTTTATTTTCCACTTGACAGGCATTTCTTTATCTTTTAAAAACTCATGCTCAACTGTGGGCACTTTTGTAACCCATTTCAAATTCTTTTTGAAACAGATGGGATAAGTTAATAAATAAAACACAATCCACTAAAAAAAAAACTATGCTAATTAATGTGTACCTACTATTAGAGGATACGGTTTAAGCTATAAAATTTTCTACGCAAGAATGAATGTTGATACAGCTTTGCCATAATACCACATAACAGCAGAGAGGGGAGTTCAAAACAATGAGATAAATAACACAGCCACAAATAACTTCTGAGAACTCGAAAATATTAAAGCTGAAAAGCAAGCTGCCCCAAATGCAAATGTGGTGTCCAGAATGAGATTCTGGAACAGAAAAAGGACATTAATGAAAAAACTGGTGAAATACAAATAAAGCCTATCTTTTAGTTAATAGTATTGTGCCAACAGTAATTTCTTAGTTTTGATAAATATACCAGTTATATAAGATGCTAATATCAGGGAAAGCTGAGTGTAGGGTATATGGGAACTCTCAGTACTAACTTCCCAATTCTTTTATAAATCTAAAATTATTCCCAAATAAAAGGTAATTATCTGTAACACTAGCCATAAGAAAGAATAAATTTGAGTCAGTTGTAGTGAGGCAGATGATCCTAGAGCCTGCACAGAGTGAAGTAAGTCAAAAGATAAAAACAAATATAGTATACTAACACATATATGGAACCTAGAAAAACAGTACTGACAAACCTATTTGCAGGGCAGGTATAGAGATAAACACATAGAGAACAGACCTGTGGACACAGTAGGGGAAGGGGAGAGAGGGACATACTGAGACACATATATTACTATACGTAAAACAGACAGCTAATGGGAAACCGTTGTATAAACAGGAAGCTCAACCCAGTGCTCTGTGACAACTCAGAGGGGTAGGACGGTGTAAACGGTGGGAGGGAAGTTTGAAGAGGGAGGGGATATAAGTATACTTGTGGCTGATTCATGTTGTTCTATGGCAGAAACAAACAATACTGTAAAGCAATTATCCTCCAATTAAAAATAAATTTTTTAAAAAGGTCATTACCTCACAAGGGTAGAGGAAGGGGATACATTTGTCAAAATGCACCCCACTTTGTAGTTAAAATGTATATGCAAATTATATCCCAATAAAGTTGATTAAACAAACAAAAACGAAGTTGCATATTATACATACACACACACATATATAATCAATACAATACCATTTATGTAAAACTTGCTTACCCTGTTTCTGTATGAATGGACAAGTTTAGGTCAGAAATCACCTCACAGGAGGGTGAGAATGTATGAGGGGAGGGCAAATAAGGCACTTGCTTTGGGCACAAAATTTAAGAGGATGCCAAGAAACTCAGCAATCATAAAAAACAAATTTAAAAAAATAAACTCTCCAGAAAGTTGGCATAGAGGGAACATAACTCAACATAATGAAGGCCATCTATGACAAACCCACAGCTCAACAAATCATACTCAACAGTGAAAAGCTGAAAGCATTTCCTCTGAGATCAGGAACAAGACAAGAATGCCCACTCTCACCACTTTAATTAAACACAGTTTTGGAAGTGTTAGCCACAGTAATCAGAGAAGAAATACAAATATTAATAAGCAGAATCCAAATCGGAAAGGAAAAAGTAAAACTGTTACTGTTTGCGAACAATGTGATAGTATATATAGAAAATCCTAAAAACGCCACCAGAAAGCTACTAGAACTCATTAATGAATTCAGTAAGTTGCAGGATACAAAATTAATATACAGAAATCTGTTACATTTCTATATACTAACAATGAACTATTAGAAAGAGAAATTAAGGAAACAATTTCATTTATTACCATCACTCCAAAAAAAAATAAAATACCTAGGAATAAAAAGGAGGCAGAATACTTGTACTCCAAAAATTATAAGACATAGATGAGAGCAATTGAAGACAACAGAAACAGATGGAAAGATATATTTTCTTGGATTGAAAGAATCAATATTGTTAAAAATGATCATACTACCCAAGGCAATCTATCGATTCAAGGCAATTTCTATCAAATTGCCAATGACATTTTTCACAGAATTGGAACAAAAATTTTTTTAATTTGTATAGAAACACAAAAGACCTGAAATACCCAGAACAAGCCTGAGAAAGAAGAATGGAGCTGAAGGAATCATGCTTGCTGGCTTCAGACTATACTACAAAGCTACAGTCATCAAAACAGTATGGTACTGGCACCAAAAAAAGACACAAAGATCAATGCAATAGGATAAAAAGCCCAAAAATAAACCACAAACCTGTGCTCAATTAATCTATAAGAACAGGGGCAAGAATATACAATGGAGAAAAGACAGTCTCTTCAGTAAGTGGTGATGGGGATACTAGACAGATAAGTGTAAAGAATGAAATTAGAACATTCTCTGATACCATACACAAAAATAAACTCAAAATGGATTAAAGAGTTAAATGTAAGACCAACCATTTTAAAACTCCTGGAGGAAACCATAGGCAGAACCCTCTTTGACATAAGTCACAGCAATATTTTGAGGGATCCATCTCCAAAGGAGTGGAAACAAAAGCAAAAATAAGCAAATGGGACCTCATTAAACTTAAAAGCTTTTGTAAAACAAAAGAAATCATAAACAAAATGAAAAGACAACCTATGAACTGAGAGAAAATATTTGTAAACAATGCAACCAACAAGGGATTACTTTCCAAAATATACAAACAGCTCATACATCTCAAAAAAAATTTTTAAATGGGCAGAAAACCTAAATAGATATTTCTACAAAGATACACAGATGGCCAACAAGCACATGAAAAGATGGTCAACATCACTAATTATTAGAAAAATGCAAATTGAAACCACAATGAGGTATCACCTCACACCAGTCAAAATAACCATCATCAAAAAAGTCTACAAATAATAAATGCTGGAGAGAGTATAGAGTAAAGGGAAACCTCCTACACTGTTGGCAGGAATGGAAATTGGTGCAGCCACTATGGAGAAGAGTATGGAATTTTCTTAAAAAACTAAAAATAGGGAATTCCGTGCTGGTCCAGTATTTAGGACTCAGTGCTTTCATTGCCGGGCCCGTGTTTAATCTCTGGTTAGGGGGCTAAGATCCCACAAGTCACAGCATGGCAAAAAAAAAAAGAAAGAAAGTCACCTGCAGCAATATGGATGGGCCTACAGATTATCACTAAGCGAAGTCAGACAGAGAAAGATAAATATCATATGATATCACATATGTAGGATCTAATAAATGATACAAACAAACTTACTTGCAAAACAGAAACAGTCTCACAGACATACGGTTACCAAAAAGGAATGCGGAGGGGAGGGAGAGATGGGATAAATTAGGTATTTGCAGTGAACAGACACACACCACTGTATATAAATTAAACAACAAGGACCTACTATATTGCACATGGAATTAGATATATTCAATATCTTACAATAATCAATAATGGAAGAGAATTTGAAAACATATATGCATATATATTTATATGTATAATTAAATCACTTTGGTGTACACCTGAAACATTGTGTATCAACTATACTTCGACTTAAGAAAATAATTTAAGTTAAAATTTAGAGCAAAAAAGATCCACAATGAACCAAGTATCAAAATTTTAAATAAAGACAAGCTAAGTAGAGCAAAGGGGAAATTCAGTGCTCCCGGTCCTGATCCCTCCCCCTGGGAGACAGAGGAAGACGACCTGCAAAAGGAGGCTCTAACTACAGCGTCTTAGATCTGGAAAGTATAGAGAGCTCTGAAGCAGAACAAGCAAAACGTTAGTGTCCGTACAGTAGGTTCTGTGCTATTGTGTATTTTGTTTACTAATTTAAAAAAATAGTAAAAGCAACAAAAATTAGGAAGAAAATAATGCAAGGTACTCCATCTTGGCAAGCTATTTAAATCATTTTATAAAAGTCCACTCTTACCTGAAAAGTATGAATCGTTCTTGCCCATGCATGTTTTATGTGGCAATACTGCATTAGTTTCCCAAAATCCACAGTTACTTCCAGGCCAGCCATATTATTAATGGTCAAAAATCTTCTCTTTCCAAAAGTTACATCAGTTTTATCCTGTCACCAAAACAAATAACTGCTGTTTATGTTTTCAAATACGTACTCTGCAAAGGTCTATTTGGGATTGAACATAAAATGCAAGCACCTTATAAATAAAATAGCATGAATCATTGTTAAGAATTTCAAAAAGCTTAAAATCTATGCTTGAGCACCAACTGAATACAGACACACCCAAATACTTTAATAAACATAAGTGGAAGTTTTTGATCATTGAAATTTAACCTTAATTTGACTCTTCGGAGAACAGTTTGTGTTGCTGTTCTTACTCTGAAGACTATACATTTTACTTCTTGCAATGATTGTATAAGTTGCATATATTTTTGGCAAAGAGTTCACTTTTCTTTACAAATTTTAAAAAGTAAACTTTTAAGTTTACAAAGGTGTTTATACAATGAGGGCAAATTCAAGGAGACCACAAGTATAGCTTCTATATTTAAGCAGCAACCAAGGAAATCCTGCTTTGTAAAACATAATAAGTGTATCACTTGTCTCTTGGTTTTGTTACTTGAGCACTTCAAACTTACTAAAAATTTGTTTCTTCACAAAGTCTCCCAGAAAATGTAAGAGAAAGGAACATTTCCCAACTAATTTTATGAGGCCAGCATTAGTTGGCTTCATAAACTCAGAAAAGATATCACTGGAAAACTACAAACCAAGATTCCTCGTGGATACAAAGCCAAAACTTAACAAAAAATTATGGAAGAAAAATGTCAGCTCTCATATGATTATATTCTGAATCAATCCTCGGGAAATAAAAAGAAAACCAAATCTATCCTTCATAGGTAAAAAGGTACTATTTTTCTGTTATCACCTACCGCTGTTATAAAAAATATTTCTCCATTGCAGAGTCGAGTACCACCTTCAAAGTCATGCTTATTTTTAGCAAAACCAGGAGTACCACCATTAAAGTCTTCCCCACTGGTGTTTAATTCATTATTTTGTTGACTGTGGAAGGTATTTTCAGGGAGTAACTCTGAGAGATACGCATTCCTGGTACAACAAATTTTATCACCAACTCCAAATTCAAGTCTATTCTGGTGGTTTCTGGGATAGAAAATAAGAATACAGTATGAGAGTTTGGAAAACCTCAATTTCATTTTTCTTTATGCACTGATTCCCACTCAGATCTGATCCAATTCTCAAAATAATTTCCACAGACTCTTCACATCACCTTTGTTCTCCAAAGGTCACCAAGAAATCAGGAGGCTCCCAGAGTTGTGATCTGATTACCTACACTCACTGCAGGTGAGAATAAATGGTATTATTAAGTGAAAGTCGCTCAGTCATGTCCAACTCTTTGTGACCTCATGGACTAATACAATCCATGGAATTCTCGAGGCCAGAATACTGGAGTGGGTAGCCTTTCCCTTCTCCAGGGGATCTTCCCGACCCAGGAATCAAACTGGGGTCTCCTACATTGCAGGGGGATTCTTTACCAGCTGAGCCACAAGGGAAGCCCTATTGATAGATGCAAGAGAAGTTATTTAGCCTGTCCTACGTGTGAACAGCATGGCTTTTCCATCCGCTCATCTCCCCGACAGATGTCACCTAAGGGGCTCTCTGCAGGCATCCTGTTGCGGAGGTTCTTGAACACGTTCCACGCATATCTAATTTGAAAAACTGCTCTAAATTCTCAAAGCTCAGTGTGTAGAGGCTAGAGGTAGGAAACCACAGAGACAATTTTATTCCTTATTTTTCTCATTATGCTGATGACCAAAAATTCCTAAGGATCTACCTCACACTTAATTGAAGAGATCATCTGACTTCACAATGGAGAAAAAAGATTTTTAAATATGCAACTACAATGATAAACGCCAATGATAAACTACAATGACAAGCAAACAAAAGTACAGTGAATCCAGGAAGCGCTGTCCTCACTTGATTAGATGTCCTGTGTAGTGCTTGCAACAGCACGCGTTGATCACGTCACAGTCCTGCCTGCAACACAGGAAAACGCAAGGGTCACTTTAACGGAATCTCTTTTGAGTAGATTTCTTTTACCAACAATTATGATATATCGGATTCTATCAAAAGTTTCCAGAACTTTCCAGAACTCAGGAAAAGGTACATAGTAATTCTGATTTAAATACAAGTATTTTGTCCATTCAGATTTCCTATTAGTTACCAAATATAATATTTGGTAGAAAGACCCTTTTTAGAGAATTCCCAGGTGGTCCAGTGGTTAGAACTCAGTATACTCACTGCCATGGGCCTGGGTTCTATCCCTAGTCAGGGAACTAAGATCCCACAAACTGTGCACTGTGACCAATAAATGAATGAATGTATGAATGAACAGCCCTCTTTAAAAACTGCCTTCTGCTGGATCTACCAAAGAAATACCTCAAAATAAGAGAATTCACAGTGATGAACTACTAGAGTCTCCCAATTCAATAGCATCTGATTAATAAGGTATGAAATTTAAAAGATGCACTTTTAAAAACAATAAAATATTGTAAATGCTTTACCTTCTAAATGCAATAAATTGTGATGTTTTCACGTCTTCTAGGTCCTTTTCTTTGAGTAAAGTACTAACTGCAGAATATAAATCTGATAATTCAAGAGAAAAAGGTTAACACAGAAAAGCACTGAATTATAACACTGTTTCAGTCAGTCAGTTCAGTCCCTGAGTCATGTCTGACTCTGTGACCCTATGGACTGCAGCACACCGGGCTTCCCTATCCATCACCAATTCCCGGACCTTACTCAAATTCATGTCCATTGAGTCAGTAAATCAATTCAACCATCTTATCCTCTGTCGTCCCCTTCTCCTGCCACCTTCAATCTTTCCCAGAATCAGGGTCTTTTCCAATGAGTCAGTTCTTCCCATCAGCTGGCCAAAGTATTGGAGTTTCAGCTTCAGCATAAGTCCTTCCAATGAACATTCAGGACTGATTTCCTTTAGGATGGACTAGTTGCATCTCCTTGCAGTCCAAGGAACTCTCAAGAGTCTTCTCCAACACTGCGGTTCAAAAGCATCAATTCTTCAGCACTCAGCTTTCTTTATAGTCCAACTCTCACACCCATACATGACACTGGAAAAACCATAGCTTTGACTAGATGAACCTTTGTTGGCAAAGTAATGTCTCTGCTTTTTAATATGCTGTCTAGGTTGGTCGTAACTTCCCTTCCAAGGAGCAAACGTCTTTGAATTTCATGACTGCAATCACCATCTGCAGTGATTTTTGAGGCCAAGAAAATCTGTCACTGTTTCCATTGTTTCCCCATCTATTTGCCATGAAGTGATGGGACCAGATGCCATTATTTTAGTTTTCTGAATGTTGAGTTTTAATACAACTTTTTCACTCTCCTCTTTCACTTTCATCAAGAGGCTCTTTAGCTCTTCTTCACTTTGTGCTATAAGGGTGGTGTCATCTGCATATCTGATGTTATTGATATTTCTCCCAGCCATCTTGATTCCAGCTTGTGCTTCATCCAGTCCAGCATTTCGAATGATGTACGCTGCATATAAGTTAAACAAACAGGGTGACAATATACAGCCTTGATGTACTTCTTTCCCTATTTGGAGCCAGTCTTGTTCTATGTCCAGTTCTAACTGTTACTTCTTGACCTGCATACAGATTTCTCAGGAGGCAGGTCAGGTGGTTTGGTAGTCCCATCTCTTTAAGAATTTTCCACAGTTTATCGTGATCCACACAGTCAAACACTTTGGCATAGTCAATAAAGCCAAAGTAGATGTTTTTCTGGAACTCTTTTGCTTTTTCGATGATCCAGCGGATGTTGGTAATTTGATCTCTGGTTCCTCTGCCTTTACTATGTCCAGCTGGAACATCTGGAAGTTCACAGTTCATGTATTGTTGAAGTCTGGCTTGGAGAATTTTGAGCATTACTTTGATAGTGTGTGAGATGAGTGAAACAGTACAGTAGTTTGAACATTTTTTGGCACTGCCCTTCTTTGGGATTGGAATGAAAACTGACCTTTTTCAATCTTGTGGCCATTGTTGAGTTTCCTAAATTTGCTGGCCTATTGAGTGCAGCATTTTCACAGCATCATGTTTTAGGATTTGAAACAGCTCAACTGGAATTCTATTGCCTCCACTAGCTTTGTTCGTAGTGATGCTTCCTAAGGCCCACTTGACTTCACATTCCAAGATATCTGTCTCTAGGTGAGTGATCACACCATCATGGTTATCTGGGTCATGAAGATCTTTTTTATACAGTTCTTCTGTGTATTCTTGCCACCTCTTCTTAATATCTTCTCCTTCTGTTAGGTCCATACGATTTCTGTCCTTTATTATGCCCATCTTTCCATGAAATGTTCCTTTGGTATCTCTAATTTTCTTGAAGAGATCTCTAGTCTTTCCCATTCTATTGTTTTTCTCTATTTCTTTGCACTGATCACTGAGGAAGGCTTTGTTATCTCTCCTTGCAATTCTCTGGAACTCTGCATTCAGATGGGTGTATCTTTCCTTTTCTCCTGTGCTTTTTGCCTCTCTTCTTTTCTCAGCTATCTGTAAGGCCCCCTCAACCATTTTACCTTTTGGCATTTTTTTCTCTTGGGGATGGTCTTGATCACTGCCTCCTGTACAATGTCACAAACCTCTGTCCGTAGTTCTTCAGGCACTCTGTCTATCAGATCTAATCCCTTGAATCTAGTTCTCACTTCCACTGTATAATTGTAAGGGATTTGATTTAGGTCATACTTAATGGTCTAGTGGTTTTCCCTACTTTCTTCAATTTAAGTCTGAATTTGGCAATAAGGATTCATGATCTGAGCCAGTCAGCTCCTGGTCTTGTTTTTGCTGACTGTATAGAGCTTCTCCATCTTTGGCTGCAAAGAATATAATCAATCTGATTTCAGTATTGACCATCTGGTGATGTCCATGTGTAGAATCTTCTCTTGTGTTGTTTGAAGACGGTGTTTGCTATGACCAGAGCTTGGCAAAACTCTAACAGCCTTTGACCTGCTTCATTTTGTACTCCAAGGTCAAATTTGCCTGTTACGATCACCAGCCCAGGTTGGATGCATGAGACAAGTGCTCGGGCCTGGTGCACTGGGAATACCCAGAGGGATCGGGTGGAGAGGGAAGTGGAAGGGGGGACCGGGGTGGGGAATACATGTAAATCCATGGCTAATTCATTTCAATGTATGACAAAAACCACTGCAATGTTGTAAGGTAATTAGCCTCCAACTAATAAAAATAAATAAATAAATAAATAAATAAATAAAACAAATTTGCCTGTTACTTCAGGTATCTCTTGACTTCCTACTTTTGCATTCCAGTCTCCTATAAGGAAAAGGACATCTTTTTTGAGTGTTAGTTCTAGGAGGTCTTCATAGAATCATTCCTGGTTGGAGCACAGACTTGGATTACTGTGATATTGAATGGCTTGCCTTGGAAACAAACAAAGATCATTCTGTTATTTTTGAGATTGCATCCAAGTACTACATTTCGGATTCTTTTGTTGACTATGAAGGCTATTCCATTTCTTCTAAGGGATTCTTGCACACAGTAGTAGATATAATGGTCATCTGAGTTAAATTCACCCATTCCTGTCCATTTTAGTTCACTCTTTCCATCTGTTTGACCACTTCCAATTTGCTTTCATTCATGGACTTAACGTTCCTGATTCCTATGCAATATTACTCTTTACAGCATCGGACCTTGCTTCCATCACCAGTCACATCCACAAGTGGGTGTTGTTTTTGCTTTGGCTCCATCTCTTCATTCTTTCTAGAGTTAGTTCTCCACTGATCTCCAGTAGCATATTGGGCACCTACCGACCTAGGGAGTTCATCTTTCAGTTTCCTATCTTTTTGCCTTTTCATACTGTTCATGGGGTTCTCCAGGCAAGAATACTGAAGTGGTTTGCCATTCCCTTCTCCAGTGGACCACTTTTTGTCAGACCTCTCCACCGTGACCTGTCCGTCTTGGGCTGCCCTACATGGCATGGCTCACAGTTTCAGTGAGTTAGACAAGTCTGTGGTCCATGTGATCAATTTGATTAGTTTTCTATGATTGTGATTTTCATCCTGTCTGCCCTCTGATGGATAAGGATAACAGGCTTATGGAAGCTTCCTGATGGGAGAGACTGACTGAAGGGAAACTAGTTCAGAATTCCTGCTAAGGGGTCTCATCAAATGGGATACAGGTTCACTATGGGAGCATCAACCTTATTTGCTTCATCAGCCAGAACAAAAGAAAACAGAATGAAGGCAACGGTTCCAGACATTCTTTCTCAACCACTAGCTCAGACAGCTCCTAATCTGTAGTATCATCACTGCATATTTATCGATGGTTTGTAAATGTTGAATTTAAAGTATGAGCAAGAGGACAAAATATGTAACAGAATTACTGATGTACGACTTCTGTTTTAAGCTCTGGTGGCACTAGTGGTCATCGGCTATAGTTTGAGAATCTATATGCTTTGCAATTGTGATTTCATCTTTAATTTAATCATCACAACATGCATATAATGCATGTATTATTATACCCAGTGCTGACATTTAGCTGATACAGACCAGTATCAAATAGGGAGATATTTCTATAATGACTAGAAAACAGCTACTCCCCAAACACCACAAAGTCCTCCCTCGCATCCCAACCATGTCTTTCCCTCCTCCAGAATCCCCAGATCTCCCCATGATTCAACAACTAATAGGTTAACCCTGACACAGGAAGGGCATCTATTCCAATAGTGACCATACTATAACCAGCTATTAAATAGTTTAACTCTCACCGCTGATTACACCCTTGCTATGAAAGTGAAACTGAGGCCCTTGGAAGTAAAAGAAGTCTTGAAACAAGGGCAGCGTGGCCAGCCTCCCTCTGTTAGCCCTCAGGTCACTGCCAGTGATAATGTCCACTTACAACTTGTCCTTCCTCACTGCCTGAGAAGCTGGCTTCCTCTCATCTCTCTTAGCAATGTTACAAATCAGGGAACATTTCTCAGGAAAGAGAGAAGATATAAAAATTGGGGAAAAAACATTTCAGGCTTTTAGGCCTTTCCCTCATAGATAAATCAAAAGGGAATGAAAAAGCCCAGTACTTGTAAGCCTTGCTCTAGGAAGACGGAATTAGTTGCTCATGGAGCCCTTCATTCTTCAGATGAAGAAACAGTTATCAGTAAAACATGCATGACCAACACTCAGCTTACCTCCAGCCAAGCCCTGCTTGCAAAGGTCTCCCAGAACCCTGTTTTCTTTCACACATACAGGATCATGCTATTCTGCTCCCTGCTCTGTTCACTCTCCCTACATCTCCCAGATCAATATACACACTGTATTTCCTTGATTCTAAGATATGCATTTTTTCTCACATTTTAGCATCATCAGAATTCCAGCCCAGCTACAATGCCCATCTCAGGCCTTTGTATCCTGCAATAATGGCAATAACTGGGTAATTTACTAAGAAATGCTTATTTCTTAAGTATTAAGTAATAATACTTAATTATTCATGAAAAAGTACTATATGCCTCTCTAAGGAGTATTTATTCAATTCTGTTAAAGAAGAGACTTGTTTTCCATCTGAAGTTTATAATTAAGATAGAGAAACAGCATCAGCTAAGCTCTGCTACCATTCTGAAACAATTTTTTTTTTAAAGTACATTCTCATTAATGAAAAGAATGGGTGCCAGAAATAAAACTTATTTCAGGTAGATCTAAATGGAATAGCAGAGAAAGAAAATTTCTTAACCACAGCTGTCTCATTTTCTTCAATTGTACTGGATATGAACTATGAACTAAACTATGGTGAGGATAAACATTATCTATAAATTATTCACAACATGTGGAATAAAAAACAAGCCAAAAAACAATGCACAGCTTATAAGCCAATTTATGTAAAACTAATATATGTCTGTGTATGCATGGCAACCCACTCCACTATTCTTGCCAGGAGAACCCCATGGGCAGGGCAGCCTGGCAGGCTACAGTTCATAGGGTTGCACAAAGTCGGACATGACTGAAGTGACTCAGCACGTACACATGGATATAACTAAGTTTTATAAAGATAAACACCAAGCTCTTTCTATGGATGTAACTTTTATGGGAGTTGACTCAGGGGAAGAGGAGTGGGAATAATTAAAGGAGACATTAATTTTTATTTCAAACACTTTTGTATCATTTGACTTCTGCTAAGGAATATAAATGATTTCTATAATTTAAAAAAAAACACCACCAAAAACACATTTATAGAATCCCATTATTACATGATCTCATTTAAAAAAAGAATATCGTAACGTGTGAATGAACCCAAGGGAACTGAGATGGGGACACACAGGGAGGAAAGGTTTACAGATAAAGTTGGATGTCAATTAATGTCACATGCCGAGTGAAAGCTGCTAAGTAAGAAGCACATAATTTGAAGAACTGTGGCAACTACAATAAATCCTCAATAATAACCCAATTCAATTTTGAGTAAACCACTAAAACTATTTTTAAAAGCTTGCTAAGCAAGTTTATAATATAAAGATCCAAAGGTACAATCTATTTAAATAAGTTCATTTGGAGTAATAATTTAATATCTATTATTTACAAAAAAATAACATTACTTTGCCGACAAAGGTCCATCTAGTCAAAGCTACGGTTTTTCCAGTAGTCATATATGGATGTGAGAGTTGGACTATAAAGAAAGCTGAGCGCCAAAGAACTGATGCTTCTGAACTGTGGCGTTGGAGAAGACTCTTGAGAGTCCCTTGGATTGCAAGGAGATCCAACCAGACTTTATTGTGGGGGGCTCCAAAATCACTGCAGATGGCGACTGCAGGCATGAAATTAAAAGATGCTTGCTCCTTGGAAAAAAAGTTATGACCAACCTAGATAGCATATTAAAAAGCAGAGACATTACTTTGCCAACAAAGGTTTGTCTAGTCAAGGCTATGATTTTTCCAGTGGTCATGTATGGATGTGAAAATTGGACTACAGTGAAAGCTGAGCACCGAAAAATTGATGCTTTTGAACTGTGGTGTTGGAACAGACTCTTGAGAGTCTCTTGGAGTGCAAGGAGATGCAACCAGTCCATCCTGAAGGAAATCAGTCCTGAATGTTCATTGGAAGGACTGATGTTGAAGCTGAAACTCCAATACTTTGGCCACCTGATGCGAAGAACTAACTCCCTGGAAAAGACCCTGATGCTAGGAAAGATTGAAAGTGGGAGGAGAAGGGGATGACAGAGGATGAGATGGTTGGATGGCATCACCAACTCAATGGACATGAGTTTGAGTAAACTCCGGGAGCTGGTGATGGACAGGGAGGCCTGGCGTGCTGCAGTCCATGGGGTCGCAAAGAGTCTGACACGACTGAGAGACTGAACTGATTTACAAAAAAATAACATTTACAAAGCTCCTCAAAACTGACAAATGCCCTCAACCTTCACAACTGTTCCATACTGTCACTATTACCCCCATTTTACCAATGGTGGAGTGATCAGACATGAGTCATACACACAGGGAGAAGAGTCCCTTGTCCCATGCATTTTCTCAATCCTATCACACTGTTATCCTAATACTCCTAATTGGAAGTAATGTTTGTCCATTTTATTAGAAACAGAACTGTTAGGAACTCAGCTTAGCAACAGTTTGAAAGCCATTACTTTTGTTTCACAAATGTCCTAAAAACAACAAATGTTTCCAACTGCTGTAAAAAAAAAAAAAGCTTCATTCATTAAGAATAAACTTGGGATTACTGGGGCTTTTGCTTTACTGTAAACTAATCATCTTCAGCCCTGGGTCAGGAAGATCCCCTGGAAGAGGAAATGGCAACCCATTCCAGTATTCTTGCCTAGAGAATCCCATGGGCAGAGGAAGCCTGGCAGGCTACAGGCCATGGGGTCACAAAGAGTCAGACATGACTGAGCAACTGAGCACTGCACGGCAAACTAATCATCTACATCCACTTATTTACTCAACAAATATTTACTAAGTCCTTTAGTATGCATGAGCTTACTTCTTTACAAAATTCGAAAGTAATCGGCTTCTGATGATTAATACATTTATTAAATTATTACATTAAATAAATTTATTTTCAGTGCCTAATGTTTTACTAGCAATATTTATATTACTGTCAAATAAAATTATAAGTATTTAATAACTGAATTATAAAACTGAAATATTTAACCCTGTATAACATAAAAGTTAATACTTACAAAACTGATGACTGCTTTTTGAGGACTGAGAACTGGCATCTTCTTCTGGGAGTCTGACAAAAATAAATGATTTATCTTGTATTGAGACAGGGAATGTCAGATTATCAGAGATATTCACCTCTGCATCAAATGTTGGAAACTGGCATCTTGAGATTCTTAAATAAAGATAAAATAATACACCAAGAACATTAGTATCCAAAAAATGTGTCTTCACATACGAGCAGAGATAGTCATTACAATAATATCTGTGAACAGGTCATAAACAGGGTGAAAAGGCCACCCATACATGCATTATAAATAGCAAATGAGTTTCAAAACAGACTTAGCAAGACCACAATGCTACATTTATCCATCAGTCCCCTACTCCTAGCATATTTAAAGTATTAGAAAAAATTTACCAAGCAACATTCTGAGAACTTGATCTACTTTTCTCCAAACCACAAAAGAACCACACAAGGTAGGTATTATCCTCATTTCATAGATAAAGCAACATGATGCTTAGCTGACTACAGTGGGGATGTCCAAGATCACAGAGGTAGAAAGAAGAGCTAGGATGGAAATTTGGACCCACTGGGCTCCATATTTCTATTTAAATTAATTTAGACTCTTTGGGGGCTTTTCCATACATGTACATCACACTCTTTCTTTTCCCCTTTCTTCTGTTACATATCATACCTATGGGCTCATCTTCTCAACTGAACCAAGTATCCACATCTTCTCTTTGTTTCTGTTCCCTCCTCACCCATTTTTTAAATTCTTGTACACCCCAAGATTAGCAAGCCATAACAGAAAACATAGTAAGGGCCAGTGGCATTGTCATACTAGAGTCCCTCCTTGGCTATTTATTAGAAAACTGACTCCCTATAAAGACCAACAGCAGCCTAGCTATCAAAGGTACAGTTCCCTACTGTGCCTCATCTTCAACCCTTCCCAAAATGGTGGAAAGACAAGAAAGCAGAGAGGAGACGACCGGCCCTGCTGAACTGTCCCAGATTTAATTTGGGGTGCTGAGAATCACCATGGATTTTCTGTTCTGCTTCTGACCCAGGACATGTAACACTTCTGTCTCTGTTTATGGTATCACGGGGACTCATCTGTCATTAACCACTTGGTGATGATGACCAAGAAGAAATGATGAAAGGAGCACAGCCCAAAAGATACTGAAAAAGTTACTAAAAGGAATTCCTAAGTTTCAGAGAAAATTGAGTTCTAAGACATCTAATGTGCTTCATATTCTTCCAAGATTTCTAGACTTTAAAATGACCAATCATCTACCAATATTCCAAAACCGAGGTTGCCTTTATGCAGGGGCAGAAGAGTTATAGGTAAAGAATATTACACATCAACTACATTATTTTTCTTAATGTCTCAATATGAAACTACATCATCTATACTGTTCCTATCCATTCTTTCTCTACCTCTCTATTCTCTCCAGGGTAGACAGGGACAGGGAGATAGTTTTTGCTGACATCCAAGCAAGAAAATGTTTAGACAACAAAAACAGCATCTTGTAGTCTAATGTAATATCCTGTCCTGCTGAATATCTGAACCAGATAGCTACTGCAAAGACCTCTATATAAGCTATCAAGTTTTTCATCTATCATTAAAGAAATAGGAACTCTTCTGACAGAAAACAAATCATCATAAAGAAAGTACTCATAAAAAAAAAAAGTACTTCTTTGAGCAAAATCTACCTTCCAATTTAATTCTACATTAATTAGTAAGCCATTTTTGGTCCTCAAGTACAGTAAAAAATCTAGTTCCATATCTTAAGCCCCAGATGGATACATCCAGGTCCAATGGCAGGACAGAGGTACAAAAAATGTGCAAAGAAGACCTAAGACAATGAAGTTTCATACTAAATTCATGATCATAGCAATAGTTCAGGACCCAGGCTGTATTTTTACACCAATCAACTATAATCCTCTGCCACTCAGTTGATTGCCCCATGATCCCAAGAATTCCCTAAGCAATGGCTAGTGATAAAGTAGAACCAAAAATAATTCCATGCAGATACAGAAATAAAGGATGCACTACAGCCAATAAAAGGAAAATGAAACCTGAAAAAAAAAACAACAAAGAAAAAAATAGCACCTTGTAAGAGTCGGAAACAAAGATAAATTGTGGTCCACAGAATAAAACAGTTTCTTAATATTCTGTAGCCCCATCACACCTATTACAGAGGATTATGCTAAAGGCTTATGCAAAGATTATGGGAACAGAAGGATTCTTTCCTACTCTTAAAGTAATATGCCACAGGTACCACCAGGATTCATCGAGGAGTAAAACATCTTTTTATGCTTTGGGTTTTCCCCTTATAAAAATTACAGGAAATGTATTCCCCGGTTTGCCCTTGAACTCTAATGAACTCATTTCCAATTCTCTGTTCCCCTTGCGTTTATTCTGGTGTCTAAGCTCAATGCAATTTTATTTCACAAATATACCATTAAAGTTAAGAAAACATATTTATTCTTAAATTTCAACAACAATTTATGTTAGGCCAATAATGAAAAATATTAATTTTGCTTTTCTAACTGTGGTACAAAAGATATACATATACTGAAGGATAGAAAAGTTTTGCTAAAAGAGTATAGTAAACACATGGCACTGAATCACCTTAATTCAAAAGCTTGTATTTTTCCTTTATTTTCAATACAACAGAAAGAAAACACAGAATTTTAGTCATAATATACCTTGTAGCATTGTCCACAATTAGTTCAGATTCTGCTCTATGGTTTGTCTTTAGTTCAATAGCACAATTTCTTGATTTAAGAGTTTCAAAAAGATCTTTCAGCAAGTTACCAGGTTCAATGCTGGGTAACTGTCTAATATCACCTGAAAAGGGGGAAAAGTAGATACAGTAGGTTTTAAGTAACTAGGATTTTGAAATTTAGAAATTACTTTCATTTCTCCCTACTGATAAATGCTATAATTATACAGACTTACTCTGAGAAGAAAAGAAAAAAAAAAAACTTTGTTTAAAATTACTTAAGAACATTAAGTCTTCAAAAATATTCAACAACATAAGCCATTCCAATTAAAGAATATAAAGTATAAAAACAGTGATAACATGGTAAAGTAAAATGTGAATTGAACTTTTTTGGTATGTTTATGGATATGTGTTGGGGCATATATTTTCACCAACATGTAAAGAAAAAAACAGATCTTAGGTATCTATAATTTAGTCATTTATTCAATCCTGCTCGATGTCTTAATAAACATGGAAAAATCTACGGCCTCAAATAAATAAAATTAACATAAAAGTGTAAAATAAATCCACTGCATTTGACAATAGATAAATTTCAGTAAGGTAATGATAATGTTCTGCTCTATTACACATCTTTTTACTTTAAACAAACAGGCAAACCGTAGAGAAAAGAGAAACTATTTTCTGGGAAACTGAGAGAATGCTTTAACTATTAATAGAATCAACTGCTTATACAATATCCTCAAATACCTAATATATTGATTCTCTCACTGCAATTTTATTTTCTCCTCCACTAAATCATATATAGTCTATACGCCGGTACTATCCAATAGAATCTAACTAAATCTCACCAAAATTGGAAAGGACTTACACTAGAGAGGTCTCTTTTGCACTATCAGCTTAAAATCATAAAATTACTTTTAAGTGGTTTATCATTCAGACTTTTTATTATTTCCAAATGATCTACATCCTGATTTACTCTGAGTCTGTGACAATTTTACTATTTTAATAGTCATCATTTAGGTAATTACTGTAACCCCTCACAATTCTATTTCATTCACAACCTAGCTTGCTAATAATTAACCAAAACAAAAAGCCACTGAGCTGATAGAGGTGGTCAAACCAAACTCAGTGAGCCTTTAGTGTGGGCTCTGAGAAACGCCTTCTCGCCTGTAGGATATGGATATTAAAACACTGAAATGGTATAAACAATACTGTGTATGTGTGTGCGTGCTCGGTCGTGTCTGACTCTTTGCGATCCTATGGACTGTAGCCTGCCAGACTCCTCTGTCTATGGGATTTTCCAGCAAGAATACTGGAGTGGGTTGCCATTTCCTTCTCCAGGGGATCTTCCCGACCTAGCGACTGAACCCATGTCTCTGGTGAGTCTCCTGTATTGGCAGGTGGATTCTTTACCAATGAAACACCTGGAAAACCCCAAAACAACCTGCTAACCACAGTGATTGATTTGAGCCAAACAATTAGGATTCCAACAATATTTTAACTTACCAAGGATAATAAGTTTAGAAAGTTTGGAGTGCTCACACAATAAATTTAAAACTGACTTGAAGATTGATACAGATACCAAACTCCCTTCATCCACAACCAGAACTCTAACGGACGAAAATTTCCATGGCCTGTCCTTGGTCTTTATTTTTTTCTTCCATAAATAGAAACTATAATTGACCTACAAGCAAAGTATGACATTTCTAAATTCAGGTTAAAAAATTCACCAAAAAAAAAAAAAAAATCAAAAATTTTTAACAACGTGTTCTCTTAAAATAAAACTCTTAAATGGGAAAGGGATGGGGAGGATACAGGTACAATAACACGGAGGGAAAGATGAAAGAAATAAAGAACACAAAAGTTATAGAATGGAAAGATAGAGGAAATAGTTCAAAAAATTGCTTCCCAGTGAGTAGTGTGCTTAATTCAACAAACAGCACTCTTCCACCACCAGAATCCCAACTGTTTTCTTACCACTCTTGACCAGAGTAAGCTCCCTGTTCTTTCCAACTGCAATTAAACCTTCTCTTGGCCTTCTGAGATAGCCCAAACACTTAAGCCTCACTCTTCTCCCAACTAGAACACTCCATTCTGGAAATAAAGGGCTGCCTGCTTGAACTAACTATAAAAATATTATTTTTTCTTCAAGAACTTTCCCAACACTGAAAAACTATCACCACTACAACCAACAAGACAACTAAGAAAAAAAACGCTATTACAGAGGTAATATTTACTATTAAAAAAAAATTTACAGAGAATATTAAATATTTTGGTGTATATCATTCAAAAAATGTTTCTATGTTGTTTATATATATATGTGCAATGTGTGTGTGTGTGTGTGTGTGTATGCTCATTGTCGCTAAAAAATTTTTTGCATTATCTGTTGGTATCCCTAGCCCAAGAATGATAAATAAATGATATAACAACCACCTCAGGGCTCGCCTGAGCCTAAACATAGCTTCAGCAATGTCCTCCCAGCATTCCAACCCAATATTAAGATACTACTAATTGATCAGAGTTGGAACATAAGATGAAATTCAGTAATGATCCTTCTCCGGCCTCTCCTCTTCTAATTCAGTCCTTCAGACTAACCAGACGTGAAGGCGTAATGGACAAAACCATAAACTGTATCAGAAGATTCTCCCACCAATGAGCTACATTGAACTTCTCTAGCACTATGCTCACTCATGTGATAAACGTAACACAAAAGTAATTTCTGAGATGGCATGTGGGTCTACGAAGGGATCTTCCTGACCCAGGGATCAAAACGGGCCTCCTGCATTGCAGGTGGATTCTTTACTATCTGAGCCACCAGGAAATGCCATGATTCGAGGTAGCCTTCCTCAGAACTGTGTCTTCATTTCACTCTTTTGCGTGGGAACCTAAATGACTCCCCAGTAATCAAGTCCAGGCTTGTTTGTTGGGTGGACAAAGTCTGTAGTAAATAAGGGAATCATGGCACGGTGGAAAGAGTAGCAAGCTGAGAGGTTACAGATGTGAATCCCAGGGCGAGCTCTGCCCTTGGTTAAGTTTGGGCCCACCTGTTTAACACCCTCAAATTTCTACTGGCTCTTCTGTAAAATGCAGATAACATCATTTTCCCACTTCACTCCTTTGTCAAGGACTTTATGAAACGGGAAAACACAAACTTTAAAGCTCAAATTCCCAGTCTAAACCAAGTGCAATTTCCATTATTTTACAATACACACACTTCATTCCATTCAACAAAGTCCCCTCAAAATCTCTACACCTACTTGATGATTCACCTCAATGCCTCTGGGAAGGCCTTTCCCTTAAATAAAACATTCTTCTTACCTGAGCTTCATCGTCCATTAGACTGCAATTATTTTTTCCTTCAGAAATCTTCCAAGGACTAAGTTCCTTGATCTATAAAATGGGAGGTCAGGGCTAAAGGAAACTCTCCACCTCTTTACATGTTTTAAACTTCATAACTCTCAACTACAGCCACAGCTATTTTTTTCAAGCATCTTAATTCATTTGAAATGCTTATTATGCAACCACTATTTGCCAAGCACTGTTGTAGGCAGAGGACATAAAGCACTCAACCAGATGACCCAAGTTTTCACTTTCACAGAGCTTTCATTCCACAAAATGTGGACTCTGACATGTTTGTAACCAGTTCCAATGAGAAACAGGGCCATATGCCAGAATCAAAACTAACTAAAGCATTAAGCATACACTTTAATTGACTTTTTTTTTTCATAGTAAGACTTTCTTAAAGAAGGAAGCAGCGCAGTGATAGCATGAGCACCTATTTCACTGTAAACAGTAACAGTTTATAGAATGGCTGTTTTGAGTCGCACTGAGTTAAATCAGCGGTCTCCACCGTTTTTGGCACCAGGGACTGTTTTCATGGAAGACAGTTTTTTCATGGACAGATGACAATTTTTTCACAGACAGATGGGGGCAGGAGGAGGGTGTGATGGTTTCAAGATGATTCAAGACTCAAGGGCATTACATTGACCGCGTACTTTATTTCTAATCGGATGCTGCGGCTGATCAGATAGCAGGTACCAGTCCATGGCCTGGAGGTTGGGGAATCTCTGATCTAATGATTAGCTACCACAAGGCAAGGGTCTAGAAAACACTCAATAAATGCCCACTAATTGTTGTCAGGAAGAAATGAAAAATACAATCATTAAGTCCGTCTTTAAATGTTTTATGTAGAGAAAAAACGTAAAAGGTTTTACCTGACACAGTGTGTAAGCGTTAAAACCAGTTTTCTGTCTCAGTAAGCCAGCTGCTCTCCCTGTAGGTGCCGTAAGTAAAACTTCCATAGCCTTGTCCAGTTGCTGTTGACTTTGCTCGGTGAAGGTGATCCATTCTTGTGGTACATTCCAGTCTTGTTCAAAATCTTCACAAGCTTTTTTCACTTCTCTTTCTTCCAACAACTCCATATGCTTAAAAAGCTGGCTAACAATTGTGGTCTTCCCACAACCACCTTTCCCACTTATGACTGTCACGGCATTGGAGCAAATCATGTCCAAAGCAGTCACCTGGTCCTGATCCAGTTGACCCTCACTCATTTCTGCATTCACTTCATTTTCACCATCATCCCAAATATGGTCAGTGCTGTCCTGCGTGTCCAAAGTATCCACCAGATCCTCTGATCTTGTTTCATCAGGATTACTTTTATTCAGTGTATCACCACTTCCTGAATTCTCAGGTCTTAGGGTACAAATAGATGCAAGCACCTTTTTGACATTGACCTGTAGTTGCCATGGGCGCCTGGTCATCAAGTCACAGATTGAAGAGGCAATGCCTCGCTCAGCCTGGTAAAGGTCATAAAGAAAGACACAGCCCTTCTCATATGTCACCACGCCAATATCCTTCAAGAACTTCAGAGACTGCCAAGCATCGTGAAAAGACATGAGGTCCGACAGTTGAAAAGTTAAGTCAGCTTCTTCAACACACGTGTGCCCCTGCTCTCTACATATCTGCTTCAGTTGAGAATATATCACTAATGCATTCTTCTCCAAATCTGTCATCAACTGGAAAAGAGACTTGCATTGACAAAATGACGTCCAACTAGCTTCACATTGCAAGAGCTTCAGTTCTCTGTAGGTTATCTTTAAGAAAATAAAGTTCACATTGTTTTATAAGAGTGATAAAGACTGATACCTATTATGAGAATTACAGTGACAACTATGGCATTTATTAATAATTTTTAAGTTCCAGAAGACATGTGTTTCAATGAAATTTGGAGGAAAAAAACTATGTACCTAACACATCACTATTTTTTTAATTAATTTTACTGTGATCAGAGATCTATATAATGCTCTAATTAAAATTATATTTTCTCAAAGCAATACATAGACAGTTTTAAAAGTCAAGTAACACTAAGAGGCTTATCACAAAATATATGAATCCCTGACTTACCCTTTCCATGACTTCTAAAGGCAACACCTCCAACACTTTTAGCTATTTCTTCCAGAATTTATCTCCACATTTCTAAGTATTGTTTATACTATTCTTTAATTTTTTAAAAAAATTAGATAATTAGTGTTAACTCCTTACTGTGGAAAGTCTGTCTTCATGGAACTTACTCTCTTTTATACTATCACCTAAACACACACTTCTCCTCCCATCTTTGAAAAAGTTACAGTACCATTTTGAAAACTGATTTTGGTTAAATCAGTATAAAGGGAGCCACGATTGAGTGACATAATATGCTGTGATTACATAAATTTTGTATTGAACTCTTGTGTGTACTGTGGAGTTAATGACTGCCTCGTTTTCTTGACTTGTTTAGTTCTCCATGTGCCTATCAACAATTCTGCCCAAACTACTGAAAAGGTACAGAACTTCCTTCCTCATGACCCACTCAGAAGGTCATCTACTAGCTCCATTTTTTTTCATGGAGACATCAGCCCTGGAGCCCTCCATACAACTTACGAGCTGAAATGTGTACCCCACAAAATTCATATGTTGAAATTCTAACACCCAGAACCCTGGATGTGACCATATTTGGAGACAGGGTCTTTAAAGAGATAATTAAGTTAAAATGAGACATGGGACAGGCCCTAATCCGAGATGACTGTGTCTTTATAAGAAGACTTTAGACCCAGACAAGCACAGAGGGAAGACAGTGTGAAGACACAGGAAGATAGCTACCCATAAGCTAAGCAGAGAGACCTCAGAAGAAACCAACTCTGCTAACATCTTGATTGGATTTGGATTTACAGACTCCAGAACTGAGAAAATAAAAGTTCTGTGGTTTACACCACCCAGTCTATGCTATTTGTTACAGCAGTCCTAGCAAATGAACATAAAACCTCAATAAAAATCTTTACTCTGGGTGGTGGTTTGCATGCTGAACAGGGGACTCCAAGCCTCCTTTTCCCACTTGAGTCCCAGAAGGTTCACTGCTCTGCCTCTCTGCCCTCCTGTGCTCCAGAATCTTTTTTTTTTCCCCGAGCATATTGAAATCATAATCATTTTACAGAGGGAAAAAATTCATTATTCCAGTATTTCTCAAGTGAGTATTTCTCAAGAGGGATGGAATCTGCAAACATTCTTGGAGAACCCACAAACTATATCAGAATCTTTAAACTGTATTTTCATTTGGAAAACCACTCATAACCAAGTACTGATTTAAGTGCCATATTTGATTTTCAACACCTCTGGAGCCTCACTTTACTACTCCTGGCATCTAATAACAAAAACAGAAGTGCCAAAGAAATTGTAAATGACATTATTATGCCAAAGAAAAAAATCAAATGACATCACGATGTACCATATGAATAATGAAGGCTTTTGAAAGTTCAAATAAGTGAGAAATTGTTCTTCAGTGAGATCTATATTCAAGGTGCAATGGCAATTTTGTTACAAAAAAAGTCATGAAATTAAATTATGTAACTAAAGTACTGATGATATGAATATCATTTACTTTGTTATTTTGTTTTCCTTTGTAAATTTATTGTATAAGAGGACAAGTATAAGAAGTTTATATTTAGTTGTAACACTGAAAGGAGAATAAATCAACATTGAGGTTGTGCAAATTTCTTTCCTTAGAAAAAGATGCAAAATTGCCAAGTTTGAGATATCCTGCCTTGTCTAAGATTACAAAAAGCTAAGCAAATGTCTTACTTACTTTACGAAATCCAAGTTTCCATGGCTGTGTACCTAAAATCTCTTCTATCTCTTCCAACACCTCTATAGAATTTGAGGTTATGAGCTGTTTGAAGTGTCGAGGCAGAAGAACTGGAAGGAATTCCATTATTTTGGGGAACTGCAAAGCTCTCATCACCGTTTTAAATGGAACTATAGGATATCAGAAAAGAACAAATCCAGGTTAACAAATGAGCTCATAAAACAACTGATTTGATGGACTTTCTCATTTAGCACAACTAGTTAAAGAAATTCCAATCAAAGAGAAAATAACACATTTACTTTAAGCAGGAGAAAATTGATTGTATTATAACAATTGTTTTTGTACCAAGATGGCTTTCATTGTGTTTAACACCAAAATTTATGTTCTTCAAATGCTTAGATAACTACCTCTTAGCCTTTTGCTTCCTCCTACTTGCAACAGAATAAAATGTCCGACTAAATAATATATAGATAAATTCAAAGCAAAGCAGTAAAAACCACTTACATATTAAACTTTATAATCTTTTTATAGTCATGATTCTTTCAACATGGAAGTCATTCAATGATGTACTTACTGCCAAATTCATTTGATGGAGTTAAGAAATAAGACATTCCATATATGTGAATGTCCAGATAACAAACCATATTTAAAAGTTATTTTAAATCATTTTGAACTGAAATCTTTCCAAAATGGATTGTTCTTTTCCTGCCTTTCTTCTCCACCTTCTTAAACAGAATAATCGACATCTGAACTTTTTCTTAACAATTCAAGGTAATCCTATGGACACAAAAGTTAGGGAGAGACCTAGAATCACACTTTTAGAGCAGGAAAGGAATTGAAAGATATTTAAAGACCATCTCACCCCACATTAGTCACTCAGTTGTGTCCAACTTTTTGTGACCCCATGGACTATTGCCCACCAGGCTCCTCTGTCCATGAATTCTCCAGGCAAGAATACTGGAGTGGGTTGCCATTTCCTTCTCCCATCTCACCCCGTATCTTCACATTATAGATGAGAAACCCGCAATGTTAATGACATACTCCAAAAGCAATACAAACACATTTTCATCAAACCGATTTTAAAAAATAATACTATACTGTACTGTACTGTAGTGGTGATATTTTAAACACACTAGTCATCCAGTATCTCAATTACACTAAAACTCCACTAAAAATCACTTACATGTGAATTCCAGAGGAAGCGGCATCTCATGATCTGGTGGTGGCTCTTGTGTTTTCTGCGTAGACTGTTTTTTACTATTCCCTTCAATTTCCTCTTGCCAAGTTCTTAAGTTTTCCACAAGATTTTCAAAATTGAGGTCTTTATACCTTGACTTGTTATTTAACCATGTAAAAAACTTAATTCTTTGCTCACTGGAGACATTACACTCTTTAAGAAAGAGGGAACAGATGTGGATTTGATTTGGTGGTGACATATCTGACTGTAAAAAGTAAGATGGAAATCCTTGAACCTGATAGCTCCCTGATCCCACAGGCTTTACCTGTACCTTCACTCGCCACCAAGCATCAGTTAATGGAAAACGTCCAAACACGTCACATTTCTGCTGAGTGTTCTCATCAAACACAGAAACTTCAAAAAAAAAAAGAAAGAAAGAAAGATTAATTTAGGATAATTTAAAATCTTTCCCAATGTTTTGTTAACTCCACTACTCTCTTTAATCCTGGGACAGTACCCTGTACAGATGTCTAAAGCACTGTCTCGATTCCACTTACCTGTTTATCTGTCTCCCTCTACTACATTGTCAGAGGAGGACATGGCAACCCACTCCAGTATTCCAGTATTCTTGCCTGGAGAATCCCAGGGATGGAGGAGGCTGGTGGGCTGCCATCTGTGGGGTCGCACAGAGTTGGACACAACTGAAGCGACTTAGCAGAAGCAGCTACTACATTGTAAGCTTTCTAGAATAAGGTAAGGTTTTATTTGTCTTTGTATTCCAGGAGGGAGGCCTGGTACCTGGCAAGTCTGTTGTTCCTCTCCTAAAAGTGGTTCCCTCTCTGCTACTCTGATCTCAGCCAATACTGACCTCCAAGGAGTATCTAAAAAAAATGTCAGGGTCAAAAGACACGTGTACCCCAGTGTTCACTGCAGCACTATTTACAATAGCTAGGACATGGAAGCAACCTAGATGTCCATGGACAGATGAATGGATAAGGAAGCTGTGGTACATATACCCAATGGAGTACTACTCAGCCATAAAAAGGAACGCATTTGAGTCAGTTCTAATGAGCTGGATGAAGTCAGAGCCTAGTTTACAGAGTAAAGTAAGTCAGAAAGAGAAAAAGAAATATCATATACTGATGCATATATGTGGAATCTAAAAAGATGGTACTCATTAATATATTTTCAGGGCAGCAATGGAGAACCAGACATAGAGAACAGACCTATGGGCGTGTGGGGAGGGGAGGAGGAAGAGGGTGAGATGTATGGAGAGTAACATGGAAATTTACGATACCATATGTAAAATAGACAGCCAGTGGGAATTTGCTGTGTGGCTCAAACAGGGGCTCTTTGACAATCTAGAAGGGTGGGATCCAGATAGAGATGAGAAGGAGGTTTGGGAGGGAGGGGATAAGGGTGTACTTATGGCTGATTCTTGTTGATGTGTGACAGAAAACCACAAAATTCTGTACAGCAATTATCCTTCAATTTAATAAAAAGTGAGGGTCCCTCCTACCACACAGTCTTTGCAAAAGCTGATGCACCTGCCTTAAGTATTTTCTTCTTACTGTTTACCCCATTTACTACAGAACTCAGATTAACTGTCACTTCCTCAGAAAACGTTCCCTGACTCTCATCAATATAACCTCTCATGGCACTTCATGCTATTTCTATTAAGCACTGATATTATAGTTACTTCCGAGGTGGCGCTAGTGGTAAAGAACCTGCCTGCCAATGCAAGAGACACAAGAGACAATGGTTCGATCCCCGGATCATGGGGAAGATCTCCTGGAGGACGGGGTGGCAACCTACTCCAGTATTCCTGCCTGGAGAATCCCATGGACAGAGGAGCCTGGTGGGATATAATCCATAGGGTCGCAAAGAGTCGGACATGACTGAAGCGACTTAGCACGCATAGCACACACAGCTGTGATTATTTGTAGGATGTCTGTTTAATGCGCTTAGAGCAGAAGCTCCATTAAGGCAGCAACCTCATCATCTAATCTCTCCAGGGTATCCCAGCAACAGACATACCTTGCTTGGAACACAGTAGCCAATCCCTAACACTTGCCTTGCCGGATGAATAACCAAACCCTCCACAAATACTTAAACATTTTCTGTCTAAACTTGTGCTGCCTACTCACCTGTGACTATTTAAATTTAATTAAAATTAAAACTTCAGATTCATCTCCTCTGGTGCACTAGCTGCATTTTTAGTTTTCAATAACCACACGTGGCTGGCAGCTATTGTATAGAACAGTGCAAATATACAGCAATGCCATCATCACAGAAAATTCTACTGGACAGCAACTGGTCTGAACATTAAAACATTCTTAAACATCAGTCACCAGGAACACACAATAGGCGAAATTCTTAGGACAGGAAACTAGACAAGATAAATACAGATCACAAGATTAGCAGGTTAATTAGTCAACAGTGCCTTGTGGTGTATCATGTGTATGTGTGTTTGTGTGTTTAAAGTAGCTGAACAACAACCACATATTCAACTCCAGGAAAGACAGGGAAATAGTTAAAAGCCTTGATTCTGCGTGTTAATACTAGCTGGACACCCACTGTTTTCCTGTTTATAAAACTACCTCAAAAAGTTGTGAACATTAATGAGATACACATGAAGCCCAAGCTTAACATATAGTACGCTCAAGTCTCTATTATTGTTATTTTATTCTCAACAGGACGAAGCACTTAGGCGATTCCAAAGGAAGTCTGTTAGCAGCGATGGAGCGCCGTACTTTGGAGGAGGCCATAATAGAAACAGTTCATTAATCCGCCGATCCCACCCCCGAGGGGCGAGTTATCTCCTCACCACGGAACAGCCCAGGCAGGCTACCAGCATTTACGCCCCCACTGCAAAGCTCCTCTGCGTCGAGAAACACCGTGTCCTCGTCCCCCTCCGCATCCTCCCTTAAATACTCGTCTTCCTCCTCCCCCAGGTCCTTGGGTGGGAGTAGAGGTCCCTGCAGCTCCAGCATGGGCTGACTTGAGCAGGCCATAGTCCATTCCCCCGAGTTCAACCCCAATTCCGGAAAACCCCGGGCTGCGTAGACGCCCATGATCAGCCAATCAGCTCCGCGACTGTAGGACCTTCGACTTCCAGGGGGTGGGCGAAATGTGTGACTTGAGTTAACCGCATGCAGATGGATGGCAACTAAACTTGTGGTGATTATCATGCTTTAGTATATATAGACATTGAGCTATAATGCTGTACGCCTGATACTTGTTTTAAAAGATAAAGGCCATCCGCTTTCACAGACGTACCTCCTCCCCTGGAAGGAAGCTTGCGCAAAGCTCCGCCTCAAGTTTCCAGCGGAAGGCCGGGATAGGATGGAACGCCGAGATTCGGAGGGGCGGGGCGAGGGGCGGAGCAAGGGCGGGCGAGGGGCGGGGCAAGGGCGGGCGATGGGGCGGGGCAAGGGCGGGCGAGGGGCGGGGCAAGGGCGGGCGAGGGGCGGGGCAAGGGCGGGCGAGGGGCGGGGCGCCCTCCCGCCTCCGCTGCACAGTCAAACTCCAGGCTCCGCCAGGGGTTGCGAGGAAACTAGCTGGCTGGGCCGCGGCATAAATAGCACCTGCAGAGCCGCTAACCCACCGCGTCTCCTGTCTAGAGAGAAACTCGAGGGAAGGTCAATCTACTGAACCTAAAGAGCTAGGAAAAGCAAGCCCTCCCAACGATTCCAAAACTAAAATCTCAATGCCCTTCCGCCAGCACCCAAAGCTCAGAGCTGCGAATCTCCAGCCAGGAGACCCGCTTGGGCGTGACTGCTTTGGGCCTCTTGTTTTTTTATTCAGAAGTTGAATTTGTAAGATCAAAGGCACTTTATACAAGGTACAGATCTCTAGGCCTCATTCCATACCCATTGTATCGGGATCTAGGGCTGGGACTCAGGATTCTTTTTAACGCGCGTCTCAAGTTGTTGGTTTTGATGGTCAGCCAGATTTGGGAAGCAGGGGATTCAATAACTTTCACAATGCACCTCATTTCCTCTGTGAGTATACCCTGGCCTCCCAAACTTTAGGCTGCGCTGCCATCTGCTAGTGCGCGCTAAGTCGCTTCAGTGGTGTCGACTCTGTGCGATCCCATGGACTGCTCCAGGCAAGAATACTGGAGTGGACTGCCATGCCCGCTTCCAGAGGATCTTCCTGACCCAGGGATCGAACCTGCATTGCAGGCGGATTCTTTGCCGCTGAGCCACCGGGGAAGCCCCACGGTGGGGCAAAAGAAGTCTAGTTATAGCCCAGAGTATAAACAAGAATGGGGGAAGGCAAGTAGAAGAGAATGAAGTGATTTAAAAGTTATTCTGGAGCCATGGTTTCCATATGTTTAAAAGTCATGGTACTTTCTGAAGAACAGCATAAAATATATGACTACATTACTATTTTGATACTATTATGAAATTACTCAATAATAAACCTAAAATAAGCATACATTATTTGCTAAATCCAAAAGCATCTTATTGTATAGATTCTAATATAGATAAATAACAGCCCCCACCACCACCAAACTTTTTAATTTATAGGACCATACACATGAAACTAACACAGCTTTGTAAATCAAATATACTTTATACTTCAAAAAAGTTATTTTGTTCTTTAAAAAAATCTTATGGGAGAAAATGATAGAATTGATTTTCTTTTCCTTTGGGTACAAATGTCAACTTTTGTTGCTTTTAGAAACACACTCTGTTGCATCATTGTTTCCAAGGATGTCTGTATGAGGTTGAATGCCTTCCTTAACACTCAGGATAGCTACACCACAACATGGAATCTGTCCTGACAAATATTTTACCACTCATCTCTTTGTTACTAAATCCAGTGGATACAGTTCTGCCCTTGTCTTGCCTCAACTCTCAACAGTATTTAACATAGATAACTTTTCTTTTTAACTGTTTTCTTCTTGTAACACTCTGCTTCCTAGGCTTTTGTAACTCATCTTCTCAGGTTTTCCTACTATCTCTCTGGCCATTTATAGCTTCCTTGGGTTCCTCTACTGGCCTCTGAAGTAATGGTGTTCCCCAGGGTTCCATCCGAAGCACCTTCTCACTCTTTAATCCTTCCCTCAGTCATCTTTCACCTACTCTATCACCTACATGCTAATGACCCATAGTCTAATCTTCAAACCTGTGCAAACAACTGCCTATTAGATGCCAGGATTGGACGCCCCTTGGCTCCACTGATTCAGGTATCCAAACTGAAAGGTATCCACTGCCCAAATGTGGGTCACATATTGTGTATTCATAAGATAACCTTTTTACCAACATGATGATTTGGGCACAAGACTCCAGATACTAAGCTTCTGTTTCTATAACTCAATTGCATTTTACTAGGCAGAGTAGGGACAAGGCAATGGCACCCCACTCCAGTACTCTTGCCTAGAAAATGCCACGGACAGAGGAGCCCGATAGGCTGCAGTCCATGGGGTGGCTAAGAGTCGGACACGACTGAGCGACTTCACTTTCACTTTTCACTTTCATGCACTGGAGAAGGAAATGGCAACCCACTCCAGTATTCTTGCCTGGAGAATCCCAGGGACGGGAGAGCCTGGTGGGTTGTCTATGGGGTCACACAGAGTCAGACACGACTGAAACGACTTAGCAGCAGCAGCAGCAGGCAGTGTAGGTTAAGGTTCAGGATGATGAGAACTTTACTTCTGTTAACTACAAATTGGCACTTGCCATCTACCTCTACAAGCTACAATCTGCAGCTGCTGATTTTCAACTCCCCATGAAAGGAGTTAGAGCAAAAATGAGGCACTCTGTGCTCAGGGAAAAACTGGCAAAACAGGTCTTAAGTGGGCTTCCTGATGGCTCAGGCAGTAAAGAATCCTCTTGCCAGTGCAGGAGATGTGGGTTCGATCCCTGGGTTGGGAAGATCCCCTGGAGGAGGAAATGTCAACCCATTCCAGTATTCTTTTCTGGAGAATTCCATAAACAAGGAGCCTGGTGGGCTATAGTCCATGGACTCACAAAGAGTTGGACATGACTAAGCATATACCAGCCTCAGCCTGAAAGGAGTTCTGATTGTAGAGCAGAAATGAGGCACTCTGTGCTCAGGGGAAAACTGGCAGCCAGGTCTTCAGCTGGTTAGATGTTTTCAGGAGCTGATTTTATGAGCCCAATTCTTGTATCTCCTCATATCTAGGAAAGTACTAAAATCCTTCATGGTGACGACTATTCATCGTGACTAGCAGAAAGCTTCACGAGACTAACAGAGAACTTCTAGAAAAATATGTGCTCGTTTGCATGTACTCCGCCTTCACCATAATCACACATATACTGACCTTCTCCCCTGCCTCTTTGGAGCAGTTTCTCAGAGCTATTTGAGGTGCTGTCTCCTGGGCTGCAGTCCTCATTTTGCCCCAAATAAAACTAAACTTGCAGCTCTCATGTTGTGCATTTTTTTAAGTCAAGACTTCTTTAACTGTTGATTCCTCATTTCTAAAATGTTAACAATTCTAGACTCCTGGATGGCATCTTTACAGTATACAGTAAGTAACAATACTTAAACCTGTCTGTGTATCAGAATTACTTGGGATGTTTCTACAATAATGACCCCTGAATATACCATGAAGCTACATTTCCCCAAATATAAGACAATACAGGTGTAAGGTTATACACTGTATAACTTCTGTAGCAGCAAAGGACAGGAAACAGCAGAAATGTTCATTAGTAAGAGACCTATTGAATAAACTATGGTACATCCACGCAATGGAGTATTCTTTAGTAATATCGCAAAAGAAAGAATGAGGAATACTTTTTTGAACTAATAGGGAGATTTCCCAGGATATTATGTTCAGTAAGAAAAAACAAGACATAAAACAAGGCAAATAGTTTTCTGCATTTTCATAGGCTTGTTTTTGTAAAAACAAGCAAACAAACACAGGAAACATAAACCAGAATTTAATGAAAATAGTTTCCCATAGAGTGGAAACAGGGTCAAGGAGAAAAAGATGGGAACAAGATCTCTAACTTTTTATAATGGTTTTGACTTCTGAACCATGTAAAGGTTTCACATATTCAAAAATAGACAAAATCAAAACCTAAAATTGAACACAAACAGAAACAAAGGAAACTATCAATTGTAGAACATAACCTCTCAGGGAAAAAGTTATTTCAAGAATATATACTTTTGAATACTTGGAATAAATACTTTAAGTTATCATGACTATATCCCCTTAGTAGGTTATATTCTGAGGACAAAAGACCTGCAAAGTAACATTAAACTTTACCACACACTGAAGTTAATGTTAGTTTTAATATTGCTTTTAACTGATACAATATGCATTGTACGATAAAGCGAACAAGTAAATATCTTCGTGTGTTATCAAATGATGGTTTTTCGTATATGTGAAAAGAAGTAGAAACATAGAATTTAAAAAGTTAAGAAAACTACAGCATTATACCTGAGCTGGAAATATCAATATGACCTTGCGATTCTTCACATGTATTTCCCAGCTCTGTCTTCTGAAAGGGTCTGAAAGTAATGTCACCCCAGTGACTCTGATCACATCTACCACCTTCCTCTTGATTTTGGAATACCATTTCTTATGAAAAGTGGAGGCTTGTTGAGAAGTGACTGATTCTACCTCTGGGACAGGGAAGTACAAGGTGGTCCTAGTGTTTCCTGTACCAGAAAGCAAGGAAGCACTCAAAACCTAATGTGGTTGTGATGAAAGGATTCAGGAGCCAGCTTGAAGGGCATTCCATGAGCCAACTTTGAGAGATCTGAACAGCAAAAAGAATCATGCCTGCACTTGACTGCAACACAATGAATAAATGAAAACTGCTGTGTCCATTGTGATACTCACTATAAAATAATTCTTTTAAGGCAATAAAGGAAAGAATGTCAGTTAAGAAATTTAACTGAATCAAAGAGGACACAAACAGATGGAGAAATATACCGTGTTCATGGATTGGAAGAATCAATATTGTCAAAATGGCTATACTACCCAAAGCAATCTATAGATTCAATGCAATCCCTATCAAGCTACCAATGGTAT